ATGTGAACGCTGTCATCTTGTCTTCCCGAGTATTTATATTCTAAAAACGAATGAGGCGTACTCCGGACTAAGAGGCAAGTCCGCGGATACAAGGTGGCCACCAATGAACCTTATTAAATCCGTGAACCCGGAAAAAAGGTTATTCGCACGATAGTAATGGCTACATACACTACCCTCGAAACGGTTGAACGCTGGAGTCTAGCTCGCACATCAGATTGTTCACTGATTAGAACCGCACCGCTACAAAGCCGCTCAGACCGCAATGTCCCAGAAAGTTTTGATATCTATCAATGAGATCAGCTGATATGAGTATGGTAGGACTTGGAAATAGGGAGGTGGTTATGGCCTCAAGTAGCTTGATGTGCCTTTCTTGGAATCCCCTGGCTGACTGTTATGGTACTGAGATGAGTTGTAGCGAATATTAATGTCTCACTGGACATTCTGCTTCGGGTTGGGTACTTCAAAAAGTGTAATGATGTCGAAGGTTGGTAACAATGTCTAAAGGTGAAGGTAGCTACCTAGATGATGCAAATAACATCCTTGCTACCTCCAGCCACGTGATGGCTATGTACTGCCCTTATGGAATGCTCAGCTGCGCTGTTTCGCGTGACGCCGTTTATCGCGCCAGCATCTGGACGTACCTCGATACAATCGCATCACCGCCATGCAGCCGCAAGGCCTAGTAAAGCAACCTCACGGGCCTCATCGGCGGACCCGTCTCCCTCTATCATGTGACCCTTGCCGAACGAGAAAGTAAGTTGGCAGACTAACGGAGCAACCTGGGCTTGCTCAGCCACCCATCGCTCTCACTTCCATGGGTAGACCGCTCTTCGAGGGACGTCTTCTAACGGTCTCGTAATGACTAGAGTAAAATGCAGTTGGGAGATGCCTTGTCAGAACTGCACAGCTCGTGATCAAGAAGCCGCTTGCAAGTTCCGCGGCCCAAGGGATGGACCCCAGCCTGGAACCCATCACGGCGAGACAAATCCAGGGAATGTCATGCGCCAACGAATCGATCACCTGGAGGATTTGGTAAAGAAACTGATCTCAGATCGCCAGCTGGTGCCGCCCTCCAGCACCGGTGTAGTTTGGACCCCCGAAAGCCCCAGGCCTGGTGTGGTTCGGGCCTTGTCAGCTGAACCGTCTGATGTTAGTGATGGTGTTCGATTCGAGAAGATGGTCATGATAGATGGCTCCCAATCAGTGTATTGAGCAGGTGACGACTGGCATGCTGTGCTTGAAGAGGTGAGGATCGCGACGTGTTCTACTTGCTGGGGTTGAATTTGACCTATACCTGGCCTCTGCTCATTTGTCCATGCATGATCTGAATTTAAACCCCATGTTTCTGTAGCTACTAACCACCTCAGATCAACGAGCTTAAGAGAACCTGGAGCCAAGAGCAGGAGGAAGAGTCGTACTACGATTTCCGTCCAACTCTTTCGCACACCGTCGATGGGTTGAGCCTTCTTTTCAGCTAAATCAAGCCAATCGAGCGAATAGAGATCCTTTCTACGTTGCCACCCAACACCGAGGTTGGCCGATTAATAATTCGATTCTTCGACCGTAAAACCTTCCCGATCATTGTTCCTCGTATGTGCGCTCTCACGTTTCGAGGCATACTCATGATCTCACCAGTGACCAGCTATTCTTCACTAGCCGACTTTCATGCGCGCTGTACGGCTGCTCATCCCCCCTGATTATAGTGCCCTAACTGGCTTACATCATTTTAGTATAATGAGCACTGGAAAACCCCATCAAAAACAAACTTTATCTGGCTCGGTCTCCTTTTCTCTATTCTTGGCATCACTATGCTCGCCTTCCATCAATACGGAGAAACACCAGAGTATGAAGGTATCTCTGAGTCGCTCTTCCAACTCTATAGGATACGCACCGCACAGTGTCTGCTGAGTGGTGACATTGCCAAGTTTTTGCCATACACTGTGGAGACCCTTCGATTCAACGCCACCGCCGAGCTGAATCGAAAGGACGACAACCGTCGTGGACTAGGGATAATGACCGGCGTTATCGTTCGCGCAGCGATTAACATGGGCTACCACCGAGACCCGTCCCAATCCCCAGCTACATGTCTGCAAGCGGAATACCGGCGACGCATCTGGTTATCTGTGATCAGTATGGATAACATGACCTTCTTCATTGGCGGGTTTCCGCGCATGATGCCAGCACTACATTCCGATACGATGGAACCTCGCAACCTACATGACTGAGAGTTAAACGAGGACATGATGAGTCTTCCTCCGTCGCGACCGTTTGTGGAGCCTACCCCGGTGACTTATTTAATCGTCAAGGGACGTTTGTTTCGTGCACTAGGTCGCATCGTCGATTTCAGCATTTCCCCCACTCCAGGCTCATACGAAACAGTCCTCGATATTGATCGCGCCGTTGATGATGTGTATCGAAGCCTGCCTCCACAAATGAAAGTGGCACCTGTTGGAGATGGCCACGGTCCTGCCAGAACAATGGCAGATTTCTCAAATTTGAGCCTGCTGGCGATGTATCATAAAGGCATTTGTACACTGCATCGTCGAAATATGTCTAGAGAATCAATCGACAGCAGCTTCAAGTTCTCACGCGATCGATGTGTCTCGTCTGCCTTGGGGATGCTGGCATTTCAGAAGGCTGTAGAGCCATCGTTTTACAAAATATCTGAAACGCGACAAATGCGAGCTCTGGCTGGCATGGTTCATTCTCTAGAGCTGGATTTAAGACGAAAAGCTCTAAACGCAGAGACATCCCCAGATAGTGACCAGCTCGTCCAGGCTTTAGAGGAGTCGTGTACCTATTGGGCAAAAGCGGTGATCGTCTGCGACGAGGCACAGAGTTCATGAGATACTTATTTCCATGCTGTCGCGGTATCGTACTAGGAGTGGGGACGGAACTGGACTGTCTAGGGAGGAGGAGACCCCGGGTCCTACTCTTACGCTTTCGGGGCTCAGCCCTCGCCTCGAAATGCTAGACCCGAGATTATCATTTGAAGAGGACCTGTCTAATACAGACTTCGATTGGGTTTGGATTCCTCCTATATTCATGGCGAAAACTGGACTGACTATCTCGGGCTACCTGGGATGCCATAATCGATGAACCTGCCATTTATGGAACCCACCCTCTATATTGAACAGACCTCCGGCATATCGGCAAGTACAATCAGAACACTCATCCACGGTCATGATTGACATGTCACTTTTTTTCGCCCGCTCCTCTTATTGATTCCCATCACCCAGGAAGCTGGTCAAGTGTTGCCAACACCGCCCTATCTACGTGCCTTTGTTGGTGTTTCTGCGTCAAACAATGCGGTACAACCCAGCCGTCTCGATACCATCGCTCCCCATCGAAAAGCGTGTGGAGAGCTCTTCATGCCCTTCATTCGGAATCCGAGTCTGAGGAGGCGCTTGTCTCCGAGGCTGAATCATCTGCATCCACCTCAGCCGTCTCTTGAAACTCTGGACCGCGTGGCTCAAAAACATGGTCCGGGGAGGAGTGCAATATGTGTCTGTTAGGATAGCATTTGAAGCAGAAGTCAAAATCGTAACAAGTTTTACAGTGGTATGCAAATCCACGGATGTTCTGTGACGCCGGTAGAGTCAATAACAAGCATTGCGGCAAAATAAAGAAATGAGGTGGTAGAAAGACATTAGTAGAGCGGAAGGAAACGGAGAGAGCAACTTACACAGCGACACGCATCACAGTAGGATGTCCGGACGTTAGCTGGTCTGGACTGATATAAATCTGCACTTTCTGCATCTGCTGAGGTGGAGGTATCTGCCTCCCTGCCCGTGTTTTCAGAGTCAAGGCCGCTTTTGAGCAATTCAATGACCTCGGCAGACTGGCCAGAGAAACGGGCGATCTTGAGCGGAGTCCATTTTTGCCCCCCAGCCGACACTATGACGGAACGATTCGCACCATGCTGGAGCAGGAGTTTCATCACCTTGATCTGTTCTTGCGGCTCACCTGCAACGTCCTCGTCCAACCAGGAGTCGGTCCCGCGCGCGGCCCAGCACAAGGCAGTCCAGCCATCAATGTCCGGGGAATCAACCACTGCTGCATCAGACCCCAGGGAGAGTATTTTCTCAACGACTTGTGCCCGTCCCGGCTGTGCGGCCCAATGCAGTGCTGTTCGGCCCATTTCATCACGTGAATTGATGTCTCCATCTCGATCAATGATTGTCTGGAAATTGTCAATGCCATGAAATGCTGCAGCATGCACGGGCATGCGACCCATTCCATCTCTGACATCTGTCTTCGCTCCCTTTTCTAATAGCAGACTGATAAGGCTTGGGGTGCCCTTGAGGGCTGCGGCGTTAAGGGGATACCGTAACAGACCACCCTCAGCTGTTACGTCCGCGCCGTGTGCAATCAAATAATTGACCATCTCTTCAACGGGATGTGGAGGTTCGGCATCGTATCGCAGCAATGCTGCTTGAATAGGAGTTCCCGGGAGGCCATCACAGGCTTGGTTTACGTCCGCGCCGTGCTCGATGAGCATTTTCATCATATCCCAGTTTGATCTTCGGCATGCTTGATGAAGTGGTGCACCATAACAGGGAGAGGCGAGATTTATGTCGACCCCATGTTTGAGGAGATATTCTGCACATTCCATGTTATCAAAATAGGCTACACACGTTAGTGCTGTGTCTCCGGCAGTTTTGTCTTGGATCTCTAGTTTTGCGCCAGCGTTGACGAGCCGCTTAAAGTTCACCGTTGAAAGATCCAAGTGAAGGGCTGTCGATCCGGCGTCGTCAAGTTGATCAACGTCGACTCTGCTAGGGAATTCCAGCAGACTTGACAGTGTCTCGCCTCTTGCGGCCGCATGGATTGCAGGTATACCAGCCGCTGATCGGTGCTGGAGATCGGCTCCATGTTCTGCGAGAATGCGAACTACATCGTCCGACCCATATGATACGGCGCACTGCAACGTCAGGAGTTAGTGTCTTCCTTGTCGAGATGGATGATGGAGCATGGAATTGCTTTTCTGAGAGTATCGGCTAGTAGACCAACTTGGGACTGAGCCTTCGATCATGAGACTTGCGGCATGGGTTGTAATAAACAAAGCATCCACTTCGAGAATTGCTTACAGTTAGTGCCGTCCACCCCTTGAGATCTTCATCATCCCCACTGTATTCTAAATCCACTGATGCGTTGTGCTTTAGGAGATACTCCAAAGTTTCTGTGTGCTTAAACCAGGCCGCAAACATGAGAGCGGTGAATCCATAGCTTCTAGCGAGGTCTGGGTCGGCACCTTTTTCTAGCAGCACGCGAGCAATCTCGGGTTCAGGCACTGCAAAGTACAGCGGAGTTACGCCAGCGGTGCTCACTTGGTTCACAGCTGCGTTCTTTTCCAACAGAAGCTCAACGAGCTCCTGATGACCATTCTCAGCAGCATAATACAGGGCGCCATTATTGTCCGAGTCGAGGATATTAACATCCGCATCATGCTCTAGTAGGCGACGGACGAATGAATCGCCCTGACTGTTGCTTTTTACAGCATGAATCAACACTGGCACTCCATCGCTGTCCTTGGCATTTACATCTGCGTTATGCTCAAGAAGCAAATCAAAAACCTCAAGCTGGTTATCGCTCGCAGCGTAGTCAGTGATGATTTGGATCAGAATCGGAGGATTAATCAGAGAACTGTTAGGCTCAGCACCACCGAGAAGGAGCAGCCTGCAGATATCCAGGTGTCCCTTGACGGCAGCATATCTTAGTGGCGTACCAATTTCAGTGGGACCACTGATGTTTGGGTTTGCATTGTTGTCAAGAAGGAGTTGCACGCATTGCTTAAACCCATCGTCGGATGCCACGACAAGTGGCGACCACTTACCGGCCTCGGCAGTCGACTCAATGCCCATATTGGGATCTGCGCCCATTTCAAGTAACGCCCCCAGGACCTGGTGGTGGCCCCAGAGACTCGCAAAATAGACAGCCGTGAATCCATCAGTATCAAGAACCTCTATGTCGCTCTTCCCCTCTTCCAGCAGAATTTTCGCTATCTCAGCGAGACCCTGACTCGCAACGACATGGAAAGGTGTGCGGCCATACATAGCTCGGAAATTGACATCGGCGTTGTATTTGAGAAGAAGTCGAACGCAGGCTGCATGGGAATTGCGTGCGGCATGGTGAAGTGGTGAGGCTTGTACGTATTGCATCCACTCCACTTCAGGATCAGCGGCACAGCCTAAGCCGAGGAGCCTCTCAGCGAAGCGATCAAGTCCTAGCCATGCTGCTCTATAGATCAAAATTGGAGGCCAGGTGATATCATTGGCGTTACTGCTGTTGGTCATGATGTAGTCGAGCAACCCAAGCATCATCTTCTCATCTCCGCAAGCCCCTGCTGCGACCAAAGTGTCAAGGAGAACCGGGTCTGGGAAGTCGACTTTCTCTAAGAGGCGCTGGACAGTCTTGGCTTGACCCTTTGAGGCTGCTTCAATCAGCCCTTGACCTGCGTCCTTCTCGTTTTGAGGTTTGGTTACGTCAAGTAAACCAAGCCCGGCGAAGATGGGAAATAGAGTATCCAAACATCTAGGACTTCTCGTAACAGGATTTGACAATGACCAATAAGCGCGAGCCCAGGTCTTCTCAATGTCGGGACTCTTTGTCTGTGATAGAAATGAGGACAAATCTGTCTTAGGAGAGCCTAGAGCTAAGTGATGGGCCCATGCCTGGATAGCATATGAGCAAAGGGTGCCTCGGTCAGCATATGTTGGCGTTTCGGAAGTGTCCACATCAGTGGTAATGAAAATTTCGTCAATGATTTTCAACACACTGGGTCTGGACAGGTAATCGAGACACAGGCGTGCGATCTCAGAGTGAGCCGTCGCAATCATCTCTTCCCATACGTATCGTGGCTTTCTATGTGATGTATTTCCAACGTCACCTCCCATTAAAATATGCCTCAACTTTGGTGAGATGATTTTGACTTCATTCTGATCTATCTCGACGATCCCGGCGAACCATATCTGGATCTTTAAGACGAATCCTTCTATTGATGACGGGGGAGGCGATGCTAGGCCTTCGTTATCCTGGTCCGAGCCTATAAAGGCAACTGTTGCGAGCTCCCAGATGGTGAGCGGTCTCACGGAGTAGAGGAGCCATGAAAGAATTCTTTGGAGAGTTGCCTGCTCATTGGTATTTTGAAGCACTCCTGCCAAAACCTTAAGCTGGATATCATCATCCTGGGTGTCGATTGGGTGAAGCTGGTAAGAATCTAGCAGCTCGCGGATCGAGATTTCGTCCGGCCATTCCGGCCGTACTCTCGCTTGCTCGCATATGATGTGCCGTACCAATGGATCGATTTTCTCGATCTGTAGCAATTGATCCCGGAGAATACTGTCCTGTAACTGCAGCTCCGGTCGAAGCGTTATGAGGTGGTTGATCAATTTGTCGACATCGCCGGCCTCGTCATTTTCAAGGCCGGATTCCGCCAGATCGAGAGTGACGCACGCCGGGCCACGGAGTTCGTCCACGAGCGCCGCTGGTTTGTGACTGGTAATAACCACTTTCCATGGGCGCTCAGTAGCTTGTGCGATGTATGAAAAGTTATCGAGGAAAGGCTTTCGAGATCCTTTGGTGCACTCATCGAAATAGTTTATCACACACATGACGTGTTCAATCTCATCGGTGAATCGGAATCGTTCAAACCAATATACAAGATCGGCTTCTGTCCAGCCGCGTTCGTGCTCAAGCAGGGTGGAGAGTGCTTTAACCCTGTTCGACAAACGTGGATAGTGACATATTATTTGAGCCAGAAAAGTCGAGAGCATGTCCCTGATGGAATCACACCTTACATCCCAGCAGTCGAAAGAAAAGTAAAGCACAATTGTGCGTTTGCCCTCCTTCTGAGCTATGTTTTCAAGATTTTGAAATACCTGCTCTGCCGCTTCGCGTACACGTGAATTGCCGTGGATGTAGAGGATCTGCGTTCCTGTGTAGTTGAGCCAATTTTCATACTGCACTAAGCCGGCGAGGAAATTATACGATGACTCTGTTCGGAATGGATACACTGGAGATGCGAGACTCAACAGTTTCCGTTCAAATTTGAGTTGTTCTGGGTTTACGACCGTGTTGAGATCTGGGTGGACAGTTAGTAGGCGTGCTTCCTGGCTGCCAAGTCACTTGGAGATAGACCGCACAACACCGTTGTTCATTGGCGGGCTTCGACAGATGAACAAGATACGGCTACAGACGTTGGGCATGGAGAAATAAAAGAACGCACCATTTTCCCATCCACTCAAGTGAGAAGTCAGGAGAGAGTCATCTCCAAAGGGGTCTGCAATACGCCTCTCTAAGGAGATGCCGAGCGTTCCACAGTGGCTGTCAAACACCTTCAACGTGTATCAGAATGCTTTAGCCCGAGTCACTACTTAAACCTGCTTTGATGACTTACCGCGTTGATCCGGTGTTGGTCTGGCTCAGTGTAGATGCTAATAATTTTGCTCCGAAGCGGAACCTTGGATTCGATGAACAAGCCGTTCACCTCCAGCACAGCAGCTGCAAGTCCGGCAATCGATGCGACGGAGGGACGTACTGTGACTAAGTTCGTGCTATAATCGCCAAATAGAAATCGAGAGAGTCGATCTTCCATGTCAGTGCCACTAAGACTTCGATGGGGGCACCCGGTAAAAACCTAACGCCTGTTAGAAAGTGGAAAAATCACCTTGCACTAGGAGGAACACCGTACTATTGTGCGAGCCATTTCCGAAATCTCCAACCACGAAGATTTATCAAGCGCTGCTGCTGCTAAAGCCTGCATTCTATCTTAGAAAGAAAGGACCAGACGAAGATAAGAACCCCTCGAACGAACATCCTTGACAATGATTCCTCCAATATCATGTGTTACAAACATTATCAAACGCCTCTAGACGAGTGTTAGCACGGTCTTGCGAATACCTGCACCGCTAAGCGTAGGGTAAGCAAACTTTTGTCTCACGGCGTCTCGCAGCAGATAGAGCTCGCAGAAGTTTCAATGCACAAGTCCGGACTGCTTCTCGACTCTTACGGCCTGAAAGAAGCTGACGAGAATCGTACTCGTATCGCAATATCCTGGACTCCGAGTTCAAGGATTCTGCATAGCTGACAACCCATTCACTACTTCCGGAACCAGGACCAGCGTCATATTCGTTATACCAGTTCCCATATATCCCTGGAACAACCACAAAGCTGTAGTAGTGATGTGATCAGAATGATACAGTTGAACGGAGGATCTGTGATATCTGAGACTCACTCTATAGCCAAAGAACTTTGCGGGGGCGGGTCGTCAGCAGAGATCTCGGAACGTCCCGTCCATGTGATATGTAAAGGTTCAGCATCCGGGTCAGTGTCCGCTTCTGCCAAATTTGGCTCATCATTCGCCTCAGCTTCCACGATTGGGGCCACGTCGAGAGCCAGGGGACGGTCAGTCTCTGTGAACGATTGTTGGGTATTCTCCTTGGATGTCGCCGTCTCTGGGCCTGACACAACATCCGGCCCTGCAACCGAGCCCGGACCTGGTGAACCATTGCGAGGCGACTCCGAGGTAGAGGAGGTCGACGACGACCCTGAATCTGACATTCCTTCTGATGTTGCCGGTACGTCGAGACTTGTAGCAACTCAATTAGGGCGAGGCGGAACCTTCCATCTGCCCACAAAAAATATGCAACAATGCTGGCGGGAAAGCTGTCAAATTTGAGACACTGCTTCATGCGTCTCTGAATTGGTGTTTGAAGAAAGTTCCAGCGCCAAAATATTGAGTGATGCCACTCCGACACTGCCCACGTAGTGTTGTGGAACTTAACACCTCAACTAGTCTGTCAGCCTGTAACTGAGTATTCAAGTGTGCTTGAGTTGTAGGAGAAGAGGAGAAAAGAAGCAAGGAAATGAGGAAGGCACCATCGGATACCTGCAGTACGGCTGAGGTACCTGGAGGTACTTCTGTTGCAAGGCTTTCGATGTGACTGGCTCCATGGTCCCTCGGTGATTGATTATATCATCCACACACAATGCTGCAAGCTTGGAGCATCTGCCTTAGCGGGTGTGGGGGCCAAAAAAGTTCTTGTGACAATGAGGTCCTCACTCTTACGGGGGGCAATGCTGCCGAAAGTCCATATCAATAAATGGAGCATCTAGGCGTGTTGGTGTGCTGGGATGCAACAAGCTTGTACGGGGGCTAATTAGTGTATGGAACCTGCGCCTCCTGGCTACAGAAGCATGTTACAGGGCTACTGTTTTAGAGAGGTACATTGACAAGAGGGAGGATGGAGGATGATTTTCTATTCAGCAGCAGAATTCTCTCCTTTTGATTGAGAGACTTGGCAGATGGTTTGAGAGTGGCAGTATCCGACACGTTATTTTACTGAATCAACACAAAGAAGACCGCATCGGCGAGTCTTCTATGGGCACGGCTGCCATTTAACACCAAGAATCTATCGAGACGCCACGATGAGTCAATCCGATCCCGAGACCAGCTACGACAATGGCCACGAAGAGGAAGATGAATGGGATGATAAATCACTTGATGTGGACTCTGACCTGGAGGACACATCTGTGAATATCGGGCTGGACAAGACGGGTGAGCGTGGAAGTGGTTATCACACTCGCAATGACCCTTCCGCACCATATCAACGACCGACAGTGACAGAGCGCCGTGGCATCATTGAAGTCCGGTGCAAGTCTCGAGAGGTGATTCACGGTGTTTTATCTCCCGACGCGGAGGAGAGTGCAACCTTGCTCGTCTACGATCTTCATCTGGACACGACCCGCAGATCTCGACGGATCATATCCGCAACAATCGAGTTTGAGTTTGGTAGCTCGGTGGCTGGAACCCCGGCGCCCCAGGTGCACGCAATTGCGCCAGCGGGCCGCATGACACTACTATCTTCTACGCAGGAGGAGTCACTCACTCGCGGTGCAGAGGTGAATGCCGGGGCGGGCGAGTTGGGGGTGAATGTCGGCGGGACGCTCAAGTGGGAAAAGACAGTGAGCCGCGCGACCAGCGACGATGCTCGGGTGACGGGCCACATCTTCAGTGACGATTACGGGAAGGGAATCGGTGCAAGTTGGGTGATGCACGAGAACAAGTCGATCAAGTCCGGGGTGCCGAGCTTCCTCCGCTGTGCCATACTGCTGAACCGCGGGTTCGATGACAACAACTTTCAGTGCCGAGTCAAGATCAAGGCGGAGGCGGACTGGAAGTCGGAGATGGGCCGCCTGTTTGGCTCGACGCCTCCCGACGATCCTGTCCTCTTCGACCCGAGCCTGCCGCCAACTAACAAGCTGCGCAAGGCGGGCTACGACATGGAAAACCTCGGTTCCATCGAGCTGGATGACTTTGTTGAAATCGTCTTTGACAAAGCCCTGAGGAAGAAACCGGACGCGGCATAGTGAGGGGACAGTCGTTCTGGTACCGCTGAGGGGTTAAGAGGGCTGGGCTCAGCAGCTGAATGTTACATAGTAGGTACATGAGTTAGTTGGGTCAGGCTCTGCACTTCACGGACATGGGAACCTTAAGAGGTGTAGGCTGGACTGGGTAGTCTTGTGAGGCATGCAGCGCTGATGACTGTGCGTACCGTAGTGCTGACTGTTGCGGGGTGTTTCACGAGTTGAGAAGAGATTTACCAGGTACCCTGCTTTGCCGCCCATCCAGTCCGCCAATTTTTCGTGCAGGGCCGCATTGCGAAGGATTCAGATGGCGCAACTGTGGGCAGAGTGGCGCCCTGGTTGCGCGCGCTGAAATGCCTCTCTTCAATCTGCATGAGTCCCTCCCCGAACAGGACAGTCGCAGCCACACCGTCCCCACATGTAAGGGCCAACACACTGGCCCCAGGTGCTCTGTACCAGCACATTTGGTAAGGTACATGGCAATACTTCACGACGAGACGTGATGTGTGTCTTGAATATGCACGGGAAAGATCCCTGACGGGGCATCACCGCGGCGATTTCGAGAGGTGCGACGTTAAGAGATCAGCGGTCCTGTAGGGGGACAAAAGTGCGGCGGGCCAAGCAACAAGTGACCCTGGCGGAACACAACCTTGATTCAACTTGCACAAGCCTCTAGAGGTCATCACAGGCGGTCGTTCCTGTTTAACTCTATATTTCGTTTGTTCTCCGTGTATGCCCTATCTCGGGAGTTGTGCCCGAGCGTCCATTATGAGCACTTTAGACGATGACGAACATTGCCCTGAGTTTGCCGACTCGGTAGAGATTGAGGAGAAAGTGGACTTGAAGGGCGGCGATGACACGAGTGATGATGACTCCGACAGTGAGGAGGAAGAAGGAGACTATGGCGACCGCCAATCCAGAGTGTCCGTCAAGGACCTTCTTGAAGATATCCTCAGCAGCATTCAAGACGGGACAAGAGATTTTTCACAGAACGACCAATTTGCGAGCTTCAAGGCAGTTGACGGCAATTACCTAGCTTCAAATACGGGGGACCCACGTCAGCCCACGGCATTGCACATAATGGCCGCAATGGAGAAGAAAGCTCTTCCGAAGCTGGATAGCAAAATGGAACCGCTCATCAAGTTTCTGACCCAGCACCGAGAAAACCTCTTGAAGGTGCAAGACCGGTCGGGCCACACGCCTCTGTTTCTAGCCATCGAAGCAAAGAAGGAGAAGATGGTCCAATGGATGTGTAGCTCACATCCGAGCATCAATGACATTCTCGCCATCACAAGCAATGACAAGATGAACTGCCTTCATGTTGGAATTGACAAGAGGGTCAAGTTTCTCGATCTTCTCATCGACAGAGCAGATCCTAGCACTTTGGCAGCCAAGGACGCTGATGGCAATACACCACTCCATCTCGCTGTCGAGTACAAGAAATGTAGAGAAGGTCAACTCTCCATCGTTGAACGGATTGTAACCAGGAGCGATAAGGCAGTCCGGGATGGGCTACCTGGTGGCGACTTCAACCGCGCGGGGCTTTCGCCATATCTACATCACAGAGAAAGCGTGAGGAAGGCCGAAGAAAAGGACAAGGAGAAAACCAAGAAAAAGACAAAGGACGAGAGAGACCGCGAGAAGGATCGGGAGAAGGACCGAGAGAAGAGTAGCGGTCGGAACCGTCCTGATGCAGGCGGGGCAGATGGACCACCTGCGAGAGAGGCGCCTGGGCAGAAAGGAGGAAAGCCGTCTTCCCCTAAACTATCTGGTGTCCCCTTGAGCCAGAATCCGGACGGAGCAACTCGTCCTGATAGACGACTGGTCATTCAAATGGAAGCGCGCACCAAGTACGGAGGAGCGCAGCCTGTGGCCGCAGTAGGTGTCAATTCACCGGTTGTGCCTGGACCGCCACCATTCTTGGACCTAGATGACGGCAAGAAGATGGCACGCCAAGCGGAATCTACAGCAAAAGGGGCTGCCGACGGGAAAGCCAACGTTGATGCTGGTCATAGATCCTCAAGGGTGGATAAGGCTACAGTGAAGGGGGTGGAGCGTTTTCTCAAGCTACACTACCTTCGCTCGCGAAGCTATAATGCAGCGATGGAGATCCTATATGGACGGAATACAACATCAGGTGAGTCGATGGGGCTGATTGGACCTGGTTTCGGCCGCCTGTCAAGGAAACTAATTGATCTCTCGACAGACCTAGAACTCTATTTCGATCTGTCCGGACACGGCAATATAACGCAAACAGGTTTTGAGAATCTTTTGTCGAAACTGAAGTTCGAGGACATTCTTCAATATGTAGCGATTCCACGGATCAGTGTCGAAGTCAACATGAATGCCGCGAATAGTAGACGGTCTAGGATCGGAAGCTCTCGATCCTCCAAATCGGATGGCGACGGTAGACGAGATTTGTGCTATATCTTTGATCGGTTGCGAAAAAAGGGCGTCAAGACTGTTCTTAAAGTCATCATAGACGATATAGCCATGCCAGCCCATAGTGATGAAGCCATAGAAGATGCTCTAAACCTCATGGGCGTCGAGGTATGGGACTGGAAGAAGACAGATCTCTGCTCAGAAGTGATCCAAAAAGTGGCCCCAAAAGTGCGAGAAGTCCACTTGTACTGGAGTGGCAACAATGCAGTGCTCAGGGGCTGGAGTGAAGAAGGTGGTCTCAAACGGCTGACGGAACTCAGAACTGTCTATCTTCATGTTCAACAGGTTTGTCTTTTTACTTGACTTGCTACGACCGACGCTATACTCTGCAAATATGCTGACCTATCATATTAACCAGGGCCTCGAATCAAGCGCTCGCACACAATTTAACGTCGATCAGTTCTACGACCGGATGAAGAAATTGTACCCCGAGGTCACCATATTCAAGGAAGGCCCAGTCATTCAACGAGAGGTGAATGATGCGAATGCCATGCGGACTGAAGGGGATCAAACGGAGCACTCAACCAAGCACGAGTGGATTCAGTGCATGAAGGAATTCAGAAAACTACTATTCGATGCTGAGAGATATTGCGATCGCCAGAAAATTGAGGAAAGCATTGAAGAGCCGATCAAGGTTGCCCTTATTGACGACGGCGTGGATGTCAAGGATCTCGAGTATACATTCATCGGTGGAAGGACGTTTTGCACACGTGACGAGCAACATAACCTGAATGACCCGTACTATGTGTCGAGCACTGGACACGGAACCATCATGGCTAAACAGATTCATCTTCTGTGTCCACGGGCCCAGTTCTATGTGTTGAGATTGGAGGACCATCCATCTGAGGAGGCTGGCAGGCAAATCACCGCAAAAAGTGCAGCTCAGGTAATTCACCCTAACTCTTTCGTTGCCCAAACGTGAAATGCTCAACTGGCGATGACAGGCTATTCGAGCGGCTGTAAGGAAGGGAGTCCACATCATCTCGATGTCTTGGACAATCGATCCACCCGAGGATGAGGACGAGAGGCGATATCTTGAGGCCGCCATTGTTGAGGCAGCCAATGCAAACATCCTCATGTTTTGCTCGGCCAGTGATAAGGGAGCCAAACAAAATGCAACTTATCCGGCCAAAGCAACGAGTAGAATATTTACTATAGGTGCTGCCACGGCATCTGGGGCTGCGGACGAGTGGGTAGGCAATCTCACCAACATCAACTTTACTTTCCCAGGTAACAAAGTCGAGCTGGATGACGGTCCCACTAGCACTGGCGCAGCCCCTAAAGAGGTCACTGGCTCATCCGTTGCGACAGCCCTGGCAGCCGGTCTGGCAGCTTTGATCCTCTATTGTGTTCAGATTAGAGTATTTCTCGCAAACGAACAGGAGAAACAAAAAGCCAGACGTGACTTCCAGGCCCTCAAAAAGCACGAAAATATGATGAGAGCCTTCAAAGACATTGGAACGACAGAAGCTAGTAATCATAAATTCATCGAGGTCTGGGAGGTCTTCGGGAAAATGGTTCAAGAAAAGGACCGATACGACCAGGAGAAATGGATTGAGCTTGTCGCTGAGGTTGGGACTACACTTTGTAGAAAAATTTGACCACAGAACGCCCTCTTGAACGATATGCAACCTTTTCTCTGAGCCTGCTGGCCCATTAACATAAAGTTGTGCTTCTTGTCAAATCGACTATAGATCCCAAGTATTAATGTGTGAGAGAGCTGCGGCGAGTCAAAGTTGATCTTGAAATGTAGATCATATATGGTGCCGTAGCTGAAGCAGATGCAGGCCCAATGATGATGATGATGAAATGAGGTCCCTCGTAGGCTCCCAGGTAAGTTGAGGCAACATATCAACCGAATGGCACACGAACTAGGCCCTCAACCATTTACTGAAATATTATCCGGTATATGCCCGACTTCACTGTCCCAGGCAACCGTACGAAATAAGATCTCAAGGCCGCCACCTCCAAGTGGCCCACGCAAAGAGACCCAGTCCAGTGATCCAGTGACCCCATGCCCTCGTCTTGAGCGTATCTCCGCCGTATAACCAGACAACCAGCCCATCGGCAAGCCTTGTAAATGACAGGATAGCTGCGAAGGACGTGATGGCTTCCTCATTACCCTGTCGTTGCAACGCCATCAGCGTTGCACCAAAGGTGACCTCTCGAATACCCTTGAAATACATCAGAGGAGAGATGAAGCCACCGTTGGTGACGCCGCCAGCTGCTGGTGACGCTACGGCAATGCCAGTTTCGAGTGGCAAGCCCATATCTGTGAAATGGAAAGTCAGTGTGCTAACCCGAGACGGAAAAGATCGCATATGGAGTTTAATGGGTTCTTTCTTTCTCAATCTAGCATCGCAAGATTGGTCTAATGGCCTCACTCCCAAGAGTGAATCATGTACATGAGTGTGATTGCCAGACCTGTCTGGTATTACTTACGACCGTACTCATCTCGTGGGGAGACGATTGCCATGAGGCCGCGGCCAAAGCAGGCAGCTCCAAGAATGTATGCAGGAACTGGCGAAAACATAGCGATTGTAGAACAGGAAAAAAGGCTCAGGTGTCGATGTTGCTACGAGTCATCGTTGGTGCTAGAGGATGGTGCAGTTGAGACGCAATCATTCCGAAGTCCGAGGTCGACAATATTAGCCGAATTTTGAGCACCGATGATAGGTGGGGTAAGCGACGCTCGCAAGGTATTTCACGCCTTCCTCTAACCTAGGTTTGAATGTTGGATCATTAATTGATGTTCTTACTTCGCACTCTTGGATTCCCTTGGATTCCCTTGCTCTTATTTTAACCCTCTTGCATAGAAATCTGTGTTAGTAGCTGGGGAGGCAAGGAAGACCGCGACATTAGTCAAGTCCATTGATAGACATCAATCCATTTCCATAACTCATAGGATGGTTGCGGTGGCTGGGGAGATAGAAAGAGCTCTGAGCTCAAAACACGCTTCTAATCTCGCATTTCCACATATTCCAGGCTACAATCACTGCCGCTCAAACGTACAACCCATCATCTATGTAGGATGACACCTTGGCTTTACGCCTCGTTTACCTCGCCAACTCTGGGTCTTCTGGTGGACACGGTTCTATACAAATTCTACGGATTGGAAACACTCTTCTGGTCCTTCTCCGCCGTCTTCTCGGGCGAATCAACAATCCCCTGTGTGCTGCCAAACATTCCATGGTCCTCGATAAGGTTTTGGTTATCCCTATTGAATCATTAGTATCGATGGCTCCTGGAGTTAGAGAATCGGGGTGAACGAACGTCAGCTTTTGGTTGGGCAAGAAGTAGACGATGAAAAATCCAGGAGCAATGATGACTAGGGCAGCGATGAAGAAGTAGGAGGTGACATGGTTATACTGCAAAAGGTTAGCCAATTCTCAAGACATTGCTGGGAGGATCTTTGGAGCATACTGCTTTGTTGATGGCGATGCGATCCGGAGTTCCCCAGTCAGGGACCATCAAATTAATAGAGTTGAACAGAGCTTCGATGAGTTCGGGTGATCCCCTGTCGCCTAGCTGCTTCGCTAATTCTTCCCGGAATGTCCCGGTGTATATCGCGCCGCTGATGGCGCTGCCCACACTGCTTCCAAGCATTCCAACAGTGACAATCAAAGCAGCCATCTGGGCCGTCTCTTTGTGCGGAACGTTGACTGTAGCAGCTACGTACCCACCAGTTTGTACGATACCGTCACCAAGTCCTTGGACGACTTGGACGATGAATAGCTCGGCCATTGTTGGGTTTTCGTTTCGAATTCTGAACATGACGCCGTAGCCAATGATTCTGATGACACAGCCGGCCATGATCCACCACTTGTACGTCCGTGTCCTCCACATGATGAGTCCAAAAACCATGCCCGTGAAGAAGGTCAAAACGCCATTGATGAAACTCAAGTTGGTAGCCTGCACGATGGTGAACCCCTGAGCGATGAGCGCCCAGTTATAAAGGTAGCCATGACTGGCTGCGGCAGCCATGTAGTCAGTGAAGTAGAGAAGGAACGCGAGCCCAATGGCCCTGTGCTTGACATAGCGGAGAGGGAAGAAGGGATGGGCGGCAAAACGATGCTCGTACAGTGGGAATGCGATGAGCAATGTCAGCCCACCGACGACCATGAGAGCTATAACCCATGGAGTGCGGTAACCATGTGACTGTAGGCTGGCTAGGGACAGTGGAATCAAGATGAAAGCGAGTGAGACGATGAGGATAGCGAGACCTCCCAGGTCAATGTTCGAGCCGACTTGGTATAGTGTGATTTTCGGGCGGCTGAACAGCTGAGACTCGAGCTTCTTGGCACGTCGCTGATACTTGAGGAGGAAGAGCATGATGGCGGAAATTCCCACGGGGATGATGATGGCGAGGATTCCAATTCCCCAGGCCCAACCAATACCGCCAGGGGATACGACATCCGAAACAATGTAAGCGGACACCCATGGGAGAATCAAATAAGGGAAGAACTGGAAGTTGACACCGAAGCCCCTCTGGCGTGTAGTCGTGAGATCAGCAACGACGATGGTGTTCATGGAATTGAGGCACGTCAACCCAATCACCCTCAGCACGGTTCCTGCAGCGAAGGCCGAGAATGTCTTTGCGCTTGCAGCAGCGATAAGTCCGACGACAACCAGAATAGCCGACATTGGGTACATCTCGCCACGCCCGAAAATATCAGATGCCTTGGCCCAGATGGGCTTCATCAGAGAGAATGCCAGGTTGCATGCCACAGCCAAGGCGGCCGAGGAGGCCGTCTTTCGAAAGTCGGACAGGGCATAAGCGTAGTATGTGCCGAAAGTGCAATTATCTATCTCACTGGGGGGAGGCAGTTAGCAACATGCAAACCATTGATTTCAGTTGAAGAGCCACAGTTGACATACTATGCGATCATGCATAGACCCAATCCCATAAAGATCCATTTCTTGCCGTGCTTGCCCCAGACTTGTTGCATCAACTCAATACGTTGAGCACCTTCATCACCAAGTTCAGCCTGAGTGACTAGCCCGGGCTTGAGGCTTTCGACGTCGTGATCGCGATTGACGCCATCCTTGGATATTGTTTGTATATCCTCCGCAGCGGCAGAGCTGGGTTGGAACTCCGAGGTGCCAAGCACATTGTGCGTTGCAACCCTGGAGTCTTTTTCAGTGGTCGACATTGCAAACTCGATGGCTTCAGCTCTGCTCAGCTTAGGATTGGCGGCAGACAGAGGATTCGAAAGGATTACATGATAGACTTATAGACATGATCAACGGCAGGTGGTCTGTGAGATCGAGTTCAATGGTTAGCACAGGTATTCACCATGGGCAAAGCCTGTAGGATTCTAGCTAGTGGTGCGACCGTACTACCACGGACTAGGCTCCCTACACAGACAGGTCCAGGGCTGCTTTCTTGGACTCTATAGCGGTGGGGGAGATACGCGACAGCCAATGGAACGCGCGAGTGCGTCCCAAGAAGCAGATAGCTTATTCCATTTACAGCATCCCCCAGCGGTCCCTGATAAGACAACCCTGCGAGATAGCTTCTAATGCCTAGAACACCGGCCTGCGAGATAGCTTGCCCTAGTGGAGATAGCATGGTCGAATCTGGAACCTAGTGTAAGTGCTGGTTCTTCAAGGCCGCTGTGTTTTGGGTTGATAACTGACATTGGCTGTTAGTCTATGCATGATTGTCCGTCCATGGACCCCAGACGCTCGGATGCTTCCAGGCGCTGAAGTTTCCCCATGTTGATCCTCTGATTTAGCGTCCTGACAGACAACCATGCGCAGTGAGCAGGCGAGTTCCCGACTGGCAGGAAGACCACACTACGGAGCCCGTGTCCACCAGCCTGGGAGTAGTACATGTAGCATAGCTCCCCCCTCCAGTTAGTGGGAATGAGTACTTCTGACCAATGGTAACATCGCGATTACGAAATGACTACTACCTACTATGCAGTATATACGAATACACACGGTAATTTCGGGATACAATCGAGGCCGTCCTCGCTGGGAGCGCGCAAGTACCGTACGTATATGGATGGGAGAGCCATGATTGCCGCTCTTACTTCACAGGTGGATGATGGAGCATCTGGTAGCTGAGAAGTCTAATTGTACGAGCATGATGAGAAAGCATGCATTCTGACCACGCATTGAAATTCGTTCATGAGCTGCTCGCCCAGGCCTCAATGACATGTTACCACAATGAGGATGTAGCCCAGTTCTCTAGGAGATCATGTGTCTGTATCTTCGTCAAGGATATCCATTGTGTCAACCCCCGCCAGAGATGACAATCCCTCATCTTGCCACCACTATCGCAGTACTTAACACGGCTTGTTTCTTCTTCTATGCTCCATCATTTAACAGCGTCGCGGTAACAGGTCTCCAATAGGGTTCACGGTAATTTCACCTGGAGGCGACAAGCTATGAATGACCCAGGACGAAGCGCGTCTTCGCCGACATTATCCAATTCCTCACCACCTGGTGGATCCTGCGCCGTGGCAGTCAACCGGGGCGTGGATGACAGCGCCTAAAGAGGGAAAGCATCTCCCGGTTTCTTCTAAGGCTATCATATATTGCGTATGCATAGAAGCAGAGTAAATATGTCTCGTAATTACTTCTCTCATCCTTGATGCCGCGATGTGTGTCACAGACACTTATGCTGTTGCCGAGAGATCTAAGCCCGCAGGCAAACCTTGGTGGCTCCACTTGCTTGCTAGGTAGGTAGTTCTTTTGCTATCATACTCACATGTTGTATCAGCCCAGATCACTTTGTGAGATGGCGCACTACTATTATAGATAGCATGGCTTAGCTCGAAGTGCGCAACTTCAGGCCAACCCTTGCAGAGCCGGCTGGCATCGCTCAATTGTTTAAAAGCCTGCGCGGTTCCCGAAGTTCAAATGATAGCTTAGTGACTTTTTGAAAGGTAATTCAATCCACTGGAGAGGCGTTCCTATCTCTTTGCTCCTAAACCACGGTTTCAGATGTATGCTCTATCTTAGTATCTTCCACGTGGAGACCTTGGACGCCCTTTGCCATACTACTGAAAGGACAGACGCCAGGGGACTCGCCTACATCCTCATCATCATCATCCAATATTTTCTTGCCATGGAGGTATCCCTCCTTCTCAATGACAACGTTCTCGGTCTTTTCACCATACTCTTCCCCATCGCGAACATACCATTTGGCGAAGAGGTCATTCTGTATCCAGATGACCTTTCCTAATGCTTTGATAATGGCAATCTTTCTTGAGATATGAAGTCGAGGGTGGGACAGAATAGCTTCCGTTAAGATGTCCTGTATGACTGACAATGCTGCGCCTATGTGGATGTACTCGACGTGAAGGGGATGTTCCCGGCCAAGACCGACGTGCATCATTCTTGAGAACATTGTTAACTGCACAACCACACGACGATCGAGGACGTATTTGATGCTTACCCAACCTTGTCCAGATATTCCCAGAATTCCATCTGACTAGGGTCGGAGCAGATCTTGTTGAGATATGCTCTCAGGAACGTTTTACGATGCAGGACCTGAGGACTGTTCTCGTCGGGAACCTTGTCCATAGGTCCCTCAAAGCTTGTACTTCGCGTCTCAAATGCACGAGCTGTTATGTCATACTGAAGTAGTTTGCGGTAGATGATATTAACAACTGCAGGAATGAGAGCTTTGATGTATTTGGAGCCAGAAACTAGTGCCTCAATGTCTCCTGAGAAACTCCACCATCAAGGTCAGTCATAACCGCTTCTAAGTTCCAAGTAGTGACTTCAAGAGACAGATGTGGCACTTACGGCTACTAAAGTCTAGAAATGTGTGCAAATATAAAATACGCGCTTCTAGGTTTGTATATAGTTCCTTGCGATCAATATGCTGCATTATTCGTTGAGATGCCATGATTACTCTGCTTTGTGTCCTCTCAAGGGACACTCTTGCGAATATAGCAAGCTCTAAAGGCTTACTTTTGAGACCGGGAGGTCTATGAGGACTAGCACGATGGGAATCTCTTTGACGTAGCGTGGTGCTCTTCTAGAATGGATAGGATTTCAAGACAACACATTCAAGCGTTTTGAAAGTGGCTGCATGTATGATTTTAACATAGAGCGTTGTTTTCCTCGAATTGTTTGGCACGTCATTGATGCTTTCCTCGTCTGATGTTGGCAAATGGCCTGATCTGTGGTGCCAGCTCAGATGATATTACGGATCCACCCGAGTCTTCGACATGGACCTCCCCCGCATCCAGCAGCTTTCCCACCCAACTGTCCGGTGATGCGCATACTGCATAATAAGGCTTGGCCAAGAAGCCTGCAATATTTACTAAATCCTGATGGTCTGATGGAACGGTGGCTAGCGTGCATGCAAGGGCTATGTTTCCGCATCCTTGCACCGCTGCGCTGTAACTTCATCTACGCTTGTCGTCGGCAAGGCTACTTGCTATGATCTGGGGTCTTAGAGATAGAGCATATCCTATCGTATCGTCCAAATGTCTGCTGGGTTGCCAGTGAAGCGACCTACCACTCACACCTGATATCCTGAACTCCTTGAAGGTGTAGCTCAGGGGATGTGATGCTATGCTGAGATGGCCACGTTGCAATTAGATATTCTGCTTCCTGGTACCATGCGATTTGCAAAATCTTCTCATTTGTCCTAGACCTTTCAACGAACATATTGGCGCTTGGTTGATTGTTGGGTATGTCGCTGTTTTAGGACGGTATTGACCGGATGTGGTGAATTCGGGTATCGCGATGCAAGACCTGCTGCTTCTGATATTGCCGCCATTTGCTCGGCACAAGCTCATGTGAGTGACTCAAGAGGTCGAATGGTGAAGTCACCATGCGAAAATGATATTCGGTGCCTAAAATGCTAAAGTGGTCCGATCAAAAGCGTGACCGTAGGTCAGACCCCAGCGTAACGCTGCCTCAACGCCGTGCAAATGCGGCGAAACCATAACCGATATGTCCTAGAACCTGTACAGAAACTGTTAGCATTGATGAAGAAGTGATCATGGCAGTACTAGGTTGATGAAGAAACTCCGTATGACAACCAAGGGCTGACTGACCTGATCTCATAACTACCCGCTCTCGTCATGTACCTGACCCATTTGACGCTGCTGTAGTTGCTCTTTTCGAAGACCTTCAGGTAGCGAACAAGCAGTCCACTGCTAGTGAACATGAGTAGGCTAAAGTTCAAGCTCAGCGGGGGGCGGCTCCAGCTCTTCTGGTTGGTCATGCTGCTGAGCTCTGCCTCGGCCGACAAGACGAACTCGCTCTGGCCGGTGAAGCGGCCGATCTTCCAGACAATGTTGTTCTCGGCAGGCTCGTACTTGGCCTTGCCCTGGGTGCAGCGCTCCGTGATCTTGGCCGTGTTGAGCGGGGTGGGGATGCGCACGACGACGTTTGTGGCAAAGAGCTTGCTGCCAAAGTTGGCCTTGACGCCGATGCTGTACTCGACCTTTGTCTTGCCGACCTCGTTGACGATGGCGTGGACCTTGAAGGGCAGGTTGACGTTCTCGGTGGCGCGGTAGCGCATCAGCTCGAACTCGCCGTCGGGGGGCACAAAGGAGATGATGCGGTCCGAGTCGAACTTGCCCAGCTTGACACACTGGTGGAACTGGCAGTCCTCGAGGGTGACGCTGCCTGCGGCGGCCTTGGTGGCCTTTGTGCCCATGCGGTTGCCGCTGGGCAGCGACATCATGCCGTCATTGTCCAGCAGCAGGCGGTCGTTGAGGCCAAACTTGCACTCGGGGGTGCCGCTCAGGTAGGCGCGCATGATGATCTGGCCGGTGACGTCGGCGCGCAGGACGGCGCCGGTGGCCGACATGAGCAGGTTCACATCTTCTATGACATCGACAAAGGCCTCGTTCTTCCGGTACTTGACGTCGGCCTTGCGCCACGAGAGGGCGCCGGTTGCCTGCATGGTGATCTTGGCCGAGTCCTCGGCGCGCTGTTCGGACTTGACGCCTTCCGTGGTGATGTACATCTTGAGGGTGTCGGTCTCGGTGTTTTGGGGGTAGCCGAAGTCGATGATCTCTGCGAAGGGAAGCCAAGCCGCGTGTCAGAGAAAGATTACAAGAAACAGGATCGAGAGGAGCATCTGTGTATACATACCGTCAAGCAGCTCGTAGACCAGGACAAAGTTGTTCTTGACGGCCTCCTCGTCAAACTTGCCAAAGTAGCCGCGGCCGAGCTGGATGAGGCGGTAGAGGAACTCAAAGACGAGGGCGGCATTGGCGTTGCTCTTTGTGATGGCGACAAGGTAGATGTTTTCGTGCTTGACATGGCTGAAGGTGGTGCTGCCGAGGGTCAGGATGGGCGAGCGGACCTGGGCATTGCTGATGACCTGGATGCGGAAGACATCGGCAAGGCGCGGGCGGCAGTCGTTGCGGAAGGCGCGGAAGATGAGGTTCTCGCCCTTCTGGTTGAAGATGAGAATGCCCGAGAGCATCTTCGCTGTCGACGTCGTCTCGTCGTTGATCGTCGGGAGGTTGATTCTCAATTGATCGGTATCGATTTGTTGGTCTCGCAGGTGGAGAGTAAAGAGGGAGGTGTCCGTCTCTATCGACACCTTCTCGCCGCCGTATCACTTGATTAGTTGGGTCTACCACGCCGAGGCGGAGGTACGTGATATTCTCAAGGCGAGCAGGGATGGAAAAGTAGAAAATTCCTAAGTAGATAGGGCTGGCCGGTGATGACAGATAGAGCAGGTATGCCTATCTACAGTACCACTTGCCCTCTATCATGAATGATGGATGTGGTGGTGCCCGGTCTTGAATTGGAGGTTCGGCAGAAACTCACCGCCAGCAGCTGGGCTGGGTGGGCGGTGAGCCGTGGGGTTCAGGGGGGATTAGGTAAGACAAGGAATGCCCCTTTCATACCCCGCTTGCTGCTAACAAGACAAGACAATAGAATACTGTAAGTAGAACCCTCCACAGTAAATGGCGAGTCGAAAACGCTTTCTGACCTGCAACATCTATGCCATCAATGATGAAATAGAAATACAACAGAGGAAGTGGGTGAATGACACTGGTGTAGCGTACGAGTATTGGGAGGCTCTTGTTGCTTTCGATTGATGACTCTGTCTACCACACCCATCTGATATCTGCTAGACATAGAGTATGTAGATGTGGATTTCCGCACTTCGAGAATGCTTCGAAATGGAATTGTTTGTCATTGAACGGATTACCTGCTGAGTGGGCATTGGCTCTTGACAAGTCAACCAAGGTGATTGATCGTATATGTAGATAGATAATCAGACACAAGTCATATACAAACTTTCTCCCTCCTTCTTGTTCCTGGCAAGTCTATCTAGCTACCCCAAGTAACTCTCCGCACAGTCTAGCTGGATGTCAGTGGATTCAAGAGGTAGGGTAGGTACTAGCCCCGGACTACTTCACTCATCGGCGCCCGGAACAATCTGCAGCTGGACAAGCCAAGGCAAAACACCATCGTTGATGATGCCTTTCAGCTTCCAGCTTGCAGCCGATAACCCAACCTCGAGGTCACCTACAATTGAGACTAGGCAAGACTAGACTATCCTGACTTTTTGATTGAGTTGGAGGCATGCTCTGATTTGAGTCGAAGGAGAAGGGCCAATCCTGGTAGCGCGTAGCGTAGGTGCTGCTACGGTACATGTACCCGGCATGTGGGTGCGTGACGACGTCTTTTGTACCGACTACCTACTACTTACTGTAGCTTTGTCTCGGTCACGTAATGTCATGTTTTGGTGGGTAGCAGTGCTGGGTAAATTTCATTTCCTGTGGCGACGCCAAGATATTACCAGTTCCTTGACCCCGAGGCGAGGCGAGTCCAAATGTCAGTCAATCTCGGAATCCAGACCAATCCACGCAAAAATAATACAAGACCATCAATCAATCTGTTAGCGCATCAGCCGTAGATGGCCTAAAGGATCGGCAGTGGGCTGCCATGCATTACCACGGTCTGGACTCGACTACCTAAAGTACATGTAGAGTGGGCCGACAGCGTCAGGGTCCATGTGCTCATTCACAGTGACTGTCCTGGGTCCTTTAAGTAGTATGTGATTCAGTCGACTTATCACCAAACTCAGATCCTGAGACTGTTCCAACAGCGGCACTGGAGCGTCGAGCAAGCTTGGAGAAAGATGTATCAAGGTGTCTACGTGTACAGCTCTGCACAGTACGTACATGAAGTGTAGGGCAATTACCAAGTCCTGTAGGCTCGGGAGCTAGCCGCGAACCCCTGAAGCAAATCACACACAGCCGCACTGGTTAACTGGGTCCAGGGATGAGATTTCCAGGAACAGGGTTCTAGGGCCGCAGGCGGCACATGGCTGACTGGCTGGGCTGGCTGCTGGCCTGGGCTGGCTAGAAGAGAGCTGACACACTTGAATAAAGGCTCGAGCATAATTAGCAGAACTCGTGTATGTATGGACATTACCTGTTCTACTGTACAGTGAGCGAGTAGCATAGAGTAGGCGGAATGTAAATGACTCTACAAGTTGCAATTCGTTCTTCATATTCTTTCCAGCACACAGGGGCCCCACGAATGCCTACTCTACAATGACTCGAGAAAATATACAATTGTACGATACGGACGATGCGATACGTACGCACGTAGATACTAGATACTTGCGCACTGCCAGCACTGCGCTACATGGTTTGTACACGCGTCCGTTCTCTAAAAGCAGAGCATTGATCGATTGTCATCCCAACTCCTCCTGGTGGCCCACGTTTGGCCCACTAATCACTCACTGAATAAAAGCAACCTTGCGGTATCCCGTGGGTCTTCTGAACAGACTTTCTGCGCCCACCGATTGAATGCGAAGCAGACACGTGTAAGCTGAAAGCTAGTCCGCTAAAGCTCAACGAATGTCCGCGACTCAGCTGCCGTCCTGCTGTTGCTGATTTCCTCGTTTGAATGTTGAGGCATGTAAGATGCAGGAGGTGACGAGACGGCCGCTGCTTGGCGAGTTTGGCTGTGGTGGCATTCGCCGTCCAGAAAGCCCCTGGCCACAGATCGGCCGTTTCATAACCAGACTTGACCTGGGGGCGCCCGCCTCCCTGCAACTCACTTGCGCCGCTGGCTTACCACTGCTGCGCTTCCCGAGAAGCCCCTGAGTCCTGATTCTGTACCGTATATGCACCAGATTGGTCATGTCTGAACTCTGTGGTCGGACAATTCACAGTTCACATTTCACTGACTGACTGGATCTGGACCGATGACAGCAGGGCTGGCACGGTCATCCGTTCACAAAGGAGTATTATGTACTGGGCCTAGGCAGTCCGGTTACTCAGAACCCATGTTCCCCGTCACGGCCCTTCAGCCGGCTGGTTTGTCTTCCTTGTCCTGGGAGCGTAGAGAAACAAATTATTTTTATCCTAGGAATTCCTACTTCTTCTTTTTCTTCTCCACAAAGCATTTAGCTTCGTGAGCTTGACGCATTTTCTTTTAGTTGCTTTCCTTGTCGCTTCGTTCCTTGTCCTCTTGATAGCAGCCTTCGATTCTCCTGTTCAGTATACCTATCTGTCTCTTCCCGCATTGAAGTCGCCAGGCGCCGTAGAGCAAGGTTCTCTGTCCCGTCTCGAAGCAGCACGGCGCCGGCGATCCCGATTTTCCCACGTCGTCGAGTGCACGGGAATCACCCTAGAGTTTCATAGCCCAACATGGCTGAAGATGGTGCGATGGGAGGCGGCGCCCACGGAGGTATTGGCGGCGGTGCGGCTGCCGGCCACGGCGATCACGGCCACATCGACGGACATCGACCTGCCGATATTACCACGGCCCCCCTTGGGCCTACCGATTCGCCCATGAGCCCCCGAGCGAATACACCCAATCCTTTTAGTCGGCAGCACACGAGCCTTGACTTGGATGATTACTTTGTATGTCGGCCCGGATACGATGATCTCATCACACCTTTCCCTCTGGAGTGACATTGATCTTCACTGCTCCCGATCTGTCTTCTTTGCATCATTGACTGATCTTGTCTCTCACCAACAGACTGGCCCACGAGACATACAAAAGCATTCGAAATGGCCCATGTTCCTGCAGATGCACGGCAGCATATTGCCCAAGATGCTACTACCATTGTTCGTGCTGGGAGGATGGGCCACCTGCATATGCTGCGTCTCGACGTTCACATCTGCATACCGTGAGTTTTGCCTTAGGCCGACAATGAGCATCGCTGTGCTAATCAGGTTACATTAGTTGGTGTAAACTCCATCCTTCTTACAGTCACTGGTTTTGTTGTTGGTCTTGGCCTGAGTTTTCGAAGTTCTACGGCCTATGAGAGGTGCGAAATATATGACATGCTTCATGATGCATTGGGTGGGGAGAAGGACATCATCGCTGACTGTCTTGTGTAGGTACGCCGAGGGCCGTCGGTACTGGAGTCAATTGGTAATGGCTTCCCAGAACCTGGGACGCGTATTCTGGGTACATGCCCTTGAGCGCGAGGGACAGACAGAAAAGGATGTTTTGGCCAAGGCGTGAGTCCACTTCATGCACAGACAATCGGCTAACAGGCGGTTCTGGGTTGCCCCTATATTACTCTCGCAGCGAAAATTGCCCCCTGGATCCTATGCTGACTGCTACTCATACAGGACTGCGCTCAATCTCATTGTAGCTTTTGCCGTCGCTCTCAAGCACAAGCTTCGCTACGAACCTTACACAGGCTATGGCGATATCTCGAATCTGGTGGGCCACCTCGACACCTTCGCCGGGTCAGCCACTCGAGAGGACCCTGGCAAATCAGTTCCGTATAAGCCTGGGTTCTTTAAGAATACCGGAGAGTATCTCGGTGTATCGTTTGCTGCAAGTAACCCGCGCAAGGCCATCAAGAAGGCAAATCGGCCACTGGGTAATTTGCCGCTCGAGCTTCTGAGCTACCTAGCTAGCTTCACCGATGAAATCATCTCAAACGGGCAGCTCGCAATCCCGATGCAACAAACATTAGCCTGTAGGTTTTCCTGACCGAGATGATTCGCGTGTAGCTCAAGGGCGAGATTCGGCTAACACATTTACAGATAACAATATCGCCGCATTGAACGATGTCTTGACAGGCACAGAACGAGTACTGACCACCCCGCTCCCGATTGCCTATGCCATTGCAATCAGTCAGATTACATGGGTCTACGTCTTCCTTCTTCCTTTTCAACTCTACCCGGTTCTGGACTGGGTCACCATTCCTGCAACCATCGCCGCCGCCTACATTATCCTGGGAATCTTGTTCATCGGTCGTGAAATCGAGAATCCGTTTGGCCAGGATGTCAACGATCTCCCACTCGAGTCTTACTGCGCGCAGATTGCCGCTGAAATGGATGTCATTGCCAGCAAACCAAAGCCCCGCAACCGAGAGTGGATTGAGACGATCGACAACAAGGTCTTGTGGCCGCTGAGCTCGAGTGGCTGGAATGTCTGGATGCATCGCGGCGAAAGTAAACTTCGAGAAGCGCTAAAAGCCAAATCTGAGATTGGCTTTGAAGAGCGCAAAGAGATGGCCGAGGTTACAACAGCCAGTGACACGAGTGGCGAAGTCGAGAAAAGAAAACGCCAGAACGTCAACGTGGACAATGTGTGATCCGGTGTGTAATCTTATCCACATCGCGGATACGGTATCATTCATCGGTGCACTTCGAATTGCCGACATTTCGGCAGGGTGGACCTTCACCTAGCAAGTTCTATCGCGCCATTCAGTCGCGGGGAACTATACATGGACAAGGCGTCTGCAATTGGGACGGGAATTCAGTAAGCTCGGCTTGTTTGGTTAGGTGTTTTGAGGACGGATTAAAACTTGTATATTCTGACGGTTGGAGTCCTGAACAAAATTGTCTTGCATTAGTTCACATTGAGGTACCACATTCTTATCAGAGCATGAGTTGTCATATGCCAGAACCGGCGGCCCATTTCTGTAGTACCACATGCGTGATACATAACCGTAGAATGGCGAGCCAATCTACCCTCGTGGCAGCTTCTGTGAAGCCTGCAGTTTGTGCCGTGATTCTCTCCACTATTTCTAGATGCTAGACTCGCCGACAGCAACGACACGCGGCATCTTGCCTCGGAGATATGAATGTGACACGGGGCAAGAGAGTGAAATCCACTGATCGATTTCGCCGCTATTCTGAATGATCGTTTTAACGGTACATTCCGATCTGATACACGATAATCTGCCTAAAGAACCCATAGCTTCTATGGTTCCTACGTGACGTTGCGTCTACATCTGACTGATTTTCACCGTATTATGATACTACCAACTCTTTGCTTTAAATTTTCGCTTTTATTTTTTGGAAAGAAACGACTGACATTCCGTTGATCAAAAGGCTTTGAGCGGACTTCATCAGAATTGACAACATGAAGCACGGTGTTGCAGCTTTGGTAGGACACAAGTCGATAAGCTCACAGAGACCTGCAAAAAATAGGTTCTCACTATTCCAGCCACACGCGTGTTTACGTGAGCTTCCGTTCATCTCTATATCTATGCAGATTTGCTATCGAGGGACGCATGCCTACTTGTCAACTACATCTAATGGGATACGGTACATTTTCGAACCGCCTTGACAGCAAGCCCAAGTAGTGCAAGCGTACTCAATCCATGTAGAGATCGCCCAGACGTCAAGGTTAGATCCTACCAAAGCAGGAAGGCGTCCTCACGTGCTGAGAGGCTGAAATTAGGGCAGTGTAACACTGCAAACGGAAATAGTCGACGTTGAAGTCACAGTGACTGTCACCATAGTGTCCCTAGACAAACGAATTCGATGAGTACAGAGTATTGACTAGCAATGGATTAACACTTACACAGTAACAGTGACGCCGGCCGTCACGCTCTGAGTCACTCCAGCCACGAAAGGCGTAACAGTAACTGTGGGAGCAATAAGAGTCTCCGTGACGGCTGCCGGAGTATAGCTCCCGGAGAAGCAGGAGCAAGCACTCGTCACGGCTGCGGCGCTTGGGTTGAGATTAGTGAGGCAGGCCAGTGATGTGGCGGCTGCGGCTCGTTTGGAATAGATGACTGGTGGCGTGCAAGTTGAGCCTCCTCCTCCTCCACCACCTCCGCCACCATCAGAGACGGTGATGGTGCGCTTCTTGACATAAGTCACGTATATCGTGGATGTTGGCGGGGCCACAGTGATGGTGGTGCTCGTCGTTTGGGTGGCCGTCACAGAAGTAGTGGACGTGACAGTTTGTAGTGTTGTGGAGGTGGAAGTCACGCTCCTGTCCATCAGAAATGCTGGATCAGAACGGGTCCGAAGATGTTGAAAATGCTCATTGATTATATATAGAGGCGCACTTACACAGTGGGAGTCGAAGTCACGAAAACAGTCGGCGTAGTAGCAATGACGCTCGCCGAGGAACTGCAGAATGGCACGGCCAGACTGGGAGTTCCGATGAGACAACGCAGCAGGTTGTCATGTGGGCACACTCTCTTATCGAGGTGTTCGAGGTGAACGAGCTCTAGAGTCTCGCCGATGAGGTCCTCAATGGGGTTCGGCAGGGCGAAGGACAGAGCTTGCCCTGCAAATAGCGCAGCGCTGACGAACGTGGTTCTCATCCTTGAAGATTACCACTCCGCTGTGCCTTAGAATGCTTGTGGCTTTGATGTGTAGAAACGATTCCAACTGGAACTCGGAACGTGGACGTCTAGACTTATATGCTGTCTCAAGTCTCACAACCCCCGGGGTTACCGGGCGCGTACTCGTAGACCGCATTGTCGAAGGCCTAGAACTCTCTAGTTGCCTCGATTAGAGCTGGCATCGAGTCCCTTGCGACACACAGACTGCCCGTCTTTCGCGTGCACGCATAGATGACCGGCGGCACGCCTGTTGTGTAGTCCCATGTGCCTGACGAAGTAGTGGTGATAGTGCATGTTTAGCGGGCCGGCTGAGATTCAAACTATCGAGCGTATCGGGCCAGAGCGAGCTTAACCAAGCTAGCGTCATGGCTGGCTCTATGGTTGTGAGTTAGCTGAGACGGATAGACTGGTCAGACTTGCACTACCGACCTCGCGCCAACAAATGGTGTTGGTAGACGCAGTCTAGTGAGGTCTCTTGGTACTGCCCTAATAATCAGAACCAATACTATCAAGTGTTTGTTTAGCAGGTGCCTGGATGTCGATGGGCCGGGCTGAAAGGAGCCCAAGCGCTGAGCTGTGATTTGAAGCAAAAGAAAGAGATAGACGGAAACTCACGAAGTCCAAATCCAATAAGCTAACTTGATTGCGAGACCATGTTATTGACAAGCCGTGGAGACCGCAAGCCGCCCTTGACCCTGACACTGACAGACAACGGCGCCTTCTCATCCGCGGCTAGCGGGTCATTCCTCCATTGATGAGGTGGAAACGCAACCCAGCTAATTATTAAACCATCAAGAGCTTATTTAGATGAGAGCCTCGAAACAGGCTCTGAACATATGAGCCCAACCCGCAAAATCATTTGGATTCTGCCATGTTTGAACTCTGCATAAGGAAACTGCTACACGAGAAGATGGACAAAGCTGAAGAAACACAATAGGAGGCCCATGCCTTGTGGCTATCTCCGTGGACAGCTACGTGGCCAGGTGGGTTCATGCGCAGCCCAATTTTGTTAAGCATTGCAGTGCAATTCCTTCTGTCCTCCCTACCTAAATTATCCTTCTGAAATTCAACCACAGAGCCTCTCATACTGATCAATTGAAAGCGAGTCCTACTGCCTGACCACTAGAAAATACACCTCGCCGATACCCAGATTCATGCCGGGGAATGACAGCAATCGTTTGCCACGTACATGGGAGCACACCGCATCATCGCCGTTAGCACTCTTGATTGTCGAACTCTGAGAGAACCACCTGCTTAGTCTACAGGATCTCGACATACCCACGTCGCTGTAAAAGAACCTGTCGCCGTGTGGCCAACGTTTTGATGACCTATCCGTTGTCATCAACCTTTGCGGCCGCCTTTGTTCGGCGCTTGCAATCTGCGCATACTAACGATGAGCACCATCTTGAGACTGCCACGTCCGAGATTCCAGCCTACAATTGCTTCAATCCTGCTGATCTGAAGCATCTGCTCCAGCAAGGCGTAGCACAATCTTTCACCCTCGGGACCGGTGCATCCATCTTCACACAGACGCTTTTGCCTGCCATTCTGTCTGCCCAACATGAAGTTATTCTGGTTACTTGCTTCTGGGCGCCGTCGAAGACCCTGACTGCGCTGAGTCGTGCATTGGAGGAACTGGCAGAGGAGCGACAGGCCCAGCAGGCTCAGACCGGTTCTCTCCCGCCCTTGCGAGTTCGCATCTGCCTATCCTCTACGTCTTTCTTCCAGAAGCTCTTCCACACATCATCTGACCAGGGCTATCAGTACCCTCCGACTGCATGGTCTTCGAAGCTGGGGCTGCCGTCTGCCGAGGTGCTGAGGGCTGGCAACATCGATTTGCGGGTCAAGAGCTTGTTCTTCCTACCTTTCAGCGTGATGCATCCGAAGTTTTTGATTGTCGACCAGCAGCGGGCCTTTCTTCCCAGCTGCAACGTGAGCTGGGAGTCGTGGCTCGAAGGATGCATCGAGGTGACTCGCTCTCCCGATGGAGTAGATGACGCCATTGACGGTTTAATTGAATTCTACAAGCGGGTCTGGGATCGGGAGTATGAGTTCCATCGAGGCGCTCCACGAGATGCAGCACAGTATGGGGCCTCGACACCCTCGAGTCTGATCCGAGTTGAACCAGTAGAGTCACCAGCTCACATTACGATCAATCTGCAACCCGCTCCAATTTCAACCACAAAGACGATCTGGCTCCCTTCTTCGCACCATCGAAACCCTCGCTTTCGTCTCTTTCCATGGTTGTCAACACCCCCACCGCCGCCCACCCCCCTGAATATTGCGCTGCAGCAGCTGTTCGAGACGGCCCATGCGGAAATATACATCCAAACGCCTGACTTCACTTCAGCACCGGCCCTGGACGGAATCTTGGAGGCCCTGAAACGCGGCGTGAATGTCACTATTGTCACTAGTCGGGACATGAAGATTCACGAGCAGTTATTGACGGCGGGTACCACAACCACTTGGTGTGTGCGACGTCTCGTGGCACAATACAGAAAACTGTCACTGCAGAGGATAAGCACTTCGCAGAGCATCGCGAACAGAATGGATGACGACTTGGAAGCCCAACTTCGTTCCCTGGGTCGACTAAAGGTCGCATACTTTCGCCCGCGCCGAGGAATTGTAGCAGAAGAGGAGCCAATCCATTCACACCTGAAATTGACAATCATAGATGATGAGTTCACTGTCCTCGGATCGGGGAACATGGACCGTGCAAGCTGGTATACAAGCCAAGAACTTGGAGTTCTCTTCCAGAGCAATACGTTGGCCGGACTTTTACAGACTACGGTACAACAAATCACCACGGGAAGACTAGACTTTGTTTACGAGTCTAAGCGATGATCGCGGAGAGAAATCAGATGCTTTCTAAAGTGTTTTGTGAATTGGTTCCACCTTTATGCAATGATATGTACGAGGTGCATTTTCGACCCCCGAGAAAATATTTACAGGAACAAGAAATGATGCATCTGATCAGCCATCAACACCCCACCGTCGTCAATTGTTTGATTTCGATTCTCTGAGATTAGAAAGCCGGGTTGGCGTTCGTCAGAAGTTGCTCGAAGTATGCCTCGAACCATGTGCCGGCTTCCGGTGCAGGCTGGAGAGCATCGCTCAAACCGCAGTGGTAGTCATAACGCGCCGCTGACGTGTCACTGGTGCCATCGCATTCACCACCGGGCTTGATCCAGACGAAAGCATCCTCAAGCTCAAGTCCAGTATTTGTGGATGGTCGCATACCGAATCCAGTGCCTTTCTGGTTGCACCAATCGCCCCAAGCCTGCTGACCTGTCGGCTGCTTCCCGGAGCGTCCCTGGTCGGTGATAAAGTGAGAATCAAAGCCGTTCTGGGAGAGAAGGGGAGCGATGGCTTGGACATAGAGACTCTCGTCATAGATGCTGTTGCCTGGGAATTGTCAGCTAAAAGTAATGCACAGAAGAAGTTTCTCAACTGAAGCTCTTCAACCTACCCTGGGTGTATGACGGCGCACTAGTCAAATTCCAACCATTGTAGTTGGCGACATTAGTGGCAAGGCCACGGACTGCCTTGGGGCTGTTTGCGTTCTTGTATACACTGGCGAAGAGCTGAGCGGCGGGAGAAAGGTTTGCCTGCCAACCAAGCCAGCCAGCATGACCAGCGTCCAGATACATGGCGACATTGGCAAGGTTGAGCTGTGTGAGGGCGTAGTTGGTGCATTCCAGATAAGCAGACTGAGCATTGCTGCACTTGGCAACATTGAGGTTCGTGACAAGATTCGCCAGGGAGTCTGGTTCGACGACCAGGATGATGCGAATGTCGCTGAATGCGATGAGCTGCGCTCTAATGGCGTCGATGTACGCCTTGTAGTTGGCCACGCCGCCGTTTGCAATGCTGTACTCGCCATTGGAAGCTGCCGCAGCGCAGTCACGATCAGGAAGATCGTAGACGACGAATAAGCCTGCGTACGCAGGGCTAGCACCGGCCTTATTGGCGGCACGAATGTCGGAAAGGGTCTGGGCCATCAAAGTAGGGACCTTGTCGGCAGTGTCACTGCCAAAACCAGCGTAAGCATTCTTGTCAATCTTTTCACATCAATGGCATTAAATAACAACATACAGCCATTGGAAAGTGGGCACTTTGGCAACGGCAGCAGCCTTGGTTGCCATGGCTCCCGTCAAAGTTGGGATCGCATATGCTGAGATCTCGGAAGCATAGTACGAGTTGGCCCACTGCTGGACGCCGACAAAGGGGTTTCCTGTATAGGACGCCGTGGCACCTGGGCTGCCACCGCCAGCTTGTGTGGTCGTCGAGGACACAGGCTTCGTGGTGGAGGAGCTGCTAGCTGCCTTTGAGGAAGAGCTCGTTGCAGAGCTAGCCTTGCTGGTCGTGGTGCTAGTTGTGGTACTGGTCGTGCTTGAAGACTTTGGAGGAATCAGCATGCCACTCGGCATTTAGGAGACTATCAAATCGAAGAACGTACAGCGGCCCCCGGAAGACACTGAGAGTAGTATGGGTTGGAGTAAACGCAAGAGCTTCCAGATGCGCAGCAGGTTGCGCCAGTCCATCCAGTTCCACCGCACTGGCCCCTATTGTCTTGTCAGTTCCCAAATCTCTAATACTCTGCAGTGATCTACCACACGGGAATGGCATACCAAATTGTTGCGCAGGACTGCCGGTCCTCAAGGGGCACTGCAAGAGCAGTGGCACTCAAGGCAGCCGCAAGAAGAATTCGTCTGGCAGTCATGGTGTATCCTATCACGTGGTAGTCTCAAGAATCTAGAAGTTCTCCAATGATGGATTGGTTAGTGGCATCCGTGGATGACAGTTCACCTAGAGTCGAGCTTGGGAATGACCTGCTTTATATCATGCTTTTAGTTCACTTAGTTCGCACACTCTGATAGATTGGCCGGAATAACGGGAAAGAAACTGCTAGGGAGTTGAGCTAGACTGCCCGTCACTCTATAGAGCCATTGGATTGCACGATTCGCTGAAAGACAGACTGCTGCCTTCCCTCCGCGTTAGTACCATGGCTGTAAGAAGACCTCGCGCCGGCCTTTTTAAGGAGAAAAGGAAAGACGTCCCGAAGAGCGATGGGAATCCGACAAGGTACAGCGACCGTTGCAGAGGTATGTCACCACGGCGAGCCACAAAAGTTTGACCAAGGAATAAGACGGTGGTCTGAAGCCCATCACCGACGAGTTGGGTTCTTGGTTCGATGATACAGCGACTACGTCTATATGCGGAAAGGCTAGAAAGTCCGCCAACCAAAGGTGATTGACGGAGCTGTGTGAAATGCTCTCTCGTCCCCTTGGGCGGGTCAGTTGAGCTTAATTTCGGAGCCCACGTTCCTGGATGGCCCTGAATGGAAGAGTGCAAGTACCGCGTACGCCCCCATTGTGGAGAAAAGGTACGAGGATTCTGAGTTGGAGTGCGCTATGAGGGGTTCGGAAAACAGCATGTTCGCTCCCGCCATCTCCGTCTCCATGGTTACATTCTCGGCTAGTTCTGCTGAGGAGTGCTCCTGTGATCAATTGAGATAGAAGTCGCCGTTTTCGACCGAGGCGGTCACGAAGACATTGACGCGGCTGAGCATTGAAAGTTTTGACGCCTCAAGTGGAACCCTCTCGTCGTAACATACAGTTCTTTAAAGGCTGCTACGGCGTAGGCCAGAACTTATTGCGTGTGGTAATTGCTGAACAGATGTGAGGGGAACCCTGGTTCCCTGGATTCTGGTTGCCACCCTGGACCGATGGATCCCTTGCCATTTAATTAGTAAGACGATGAAGATGGTGAAAACTACGAAACAAGCAATCTGAATCGGCTCCGTTCATATCGAGCAATATAGGATTTCCGGGTTCACTCATGGCCAAGCTTTGCCCTGAGACTTCAGATGTTACATGCATATGTTTAACGGACTTGCGTTGCTGGATTGATGCTTTCCTATCCAAATATCACACGTGATTGACACCTTGCTGAAAGCTAGCTTAAACCCAATACTACCAAGTTGGGTTCGGAGGAACGAAAACTTACCTCCGAACCTGTTCCGTGGCGTGTCTACTAGAGTCAATACCATACCAGATCAGGACAGGACTTCATATTCACTTCAGTCTCGGCCATCTTGATTGTTCCTTCATAAGCAAGACAACGAGTAACGCGGCATGCTCTATGACTCTGTCCAGCTTGTACTGAAGGTCTAATTGTTTTTTTTTCTTCAAAATACGCCACATCTTGTGAGTGTGAGGACAAGAGGCTGATAATGGGCGTGTTACTTCCCTTTGAGGCACCAAGGAGACGATGACTAATTGATTGAAAAGTATAGTCGTACAAGCTTGGACTGCGTCCATAACTGGCTCGACATATGAAAGTATCCTTACACTTGGCTTGGTAGCCCAGAGGATGATGCTGTTTTTTCTTACATATCAAGCGGATCTACGACAAAGTTTCGTATTCACAGGAATTTTCTTTTGCCAAAAACATCGTACAGTTATAAAAGCAATGTCTGTGCCGAGAGGGCATGAGTGCTCATGGAGGGAATCCTGTGACGAGATCTGGCCCACATTCTACATCATGAAGTTGGACAGGATCATGTGCCCATAGGAAAGTTGTGCAAGTACTTTTCGCTCGCGTATCCGTGTCTACCATTTCAATGATGTTATAATTAGAGTTGCGCTTGTAGGTATAAACGGCTGTCATTGATTACGATTACTTTCTATGTTTGGGCAGGAAGAGTTTGGCAAGCACTCATATGCTTCTCGTTTGTGATGTATTTTCATATATAATCTATCAACTCGGTGTCTTATGAGATAATGGCAATTAGACCAATTGATTTGGTTTAAGTTTGTCTGGTACCATAATTTCATTTTATGCAGCTGAACCATACTAAATTCCTCAGATGACTTGATAACAGCAAGAACCCTACCATACACCAACACTCACACACCAGTGGGTTACTTTTCGTCCTATAGCTACTCAATGTCGGACTCAGTTTCTCCAGAAAACATTGACTTTCGCTGAGCCGGTCGTGCAAAATACTTCCTCGTAGTAGCCTCTTTATCTACAGCATTGCAGTCCCGTCGAAGTCTCGTTGCTGTGATTGGACTTTGACATGTGCTGGACACCAGGGCCGGAACAGGCATTTTCTCACAAATCTCGTTATCATCACAGGCATATATACGGGGTGGACAAGCCCTCAAATTACCTCGGTAAGTTTCTTCTTCACACTTTGTCTCACGTCAGACTCAATCACCAGTACAAGGCGAGCAGTCCAACCCCACTCGCATCGCACGTTGCTGGTTAGTATCATGCCCTATGGCGACAAGGGGTGTTTACCTTCCAACTGCGCCGCAGTGCATCAAAACGCGGGGTCTCAGGGACAACGTGTAATGTTACACCGAATGGGGAATTTTTGTGCATAACAACCATGAAGTCCAGAGTTTGTCCTTTGTCGAAGGGATCTCTCTTGTACGCTGTCCCGAACCTTTTCATCCAGAATGCCATAGGAGCGACGCTTATCATTACGATTCTCATTTGACTAGAGATCGCCGACAGCAATAACCGTGGGGAACGACGAATCTTGGGCGGATAAATCCTGACATAGAACTGAACAGTGTTTCCGGGTATGGGCATAATTTCAAATTACCGACAATCAAGGATTATCATCACGTCAGCATCTGACGCTCCACACATACGCCGAAGGAATTGACGACCTTCCCTGTTACCAGACTTGATATATCAATCACGCATGTCCCATTCCACAACACAATACGAACTGTCCAGCGCGCATATCATCGAAATCCCATTGAACTAGTGACAATGCAGCCATCAACAGCTGGAGGCGACTCACAGACCGCTGATCCTGTCGACCGCGAATACTATCAGCGAAAGGCTAAGCAGCTGCCCACAGACCCTGTTCTCCGCGCTTACGTGGAAGCCGTCCTACGTGATGGCTACGTCGTCATCCCGAATGCATTCACAGAAGACGAGGCACTTGAGGCAATTGCTGAAATAGACCGACTGCATGGCGACCGCCCTCGCACTGGCCGGGACAAGTTCGAAGGCTTCAAGACAAACCGGATACTTGCGTTATTGGCCAAGACACGGAAGTTTGATAAGTTCTGCCTTCTGCCCCAGGTCCACGCTCTCAATGAATTCTTTCTGGATGAGGACTATCTCATCTACATCATGGAAACCATTGTGATAAATCCCGGAGAGAAGGCGCAGGCATTGCATCATGACGATGCAGTGACGCGCCTTCCAAGGCCTAGGCCGCCCGTCACGGCCGCTACAATGATCGTACTTGATGACTACACAGAGCTGAATGGTGCCACAAGAATTATTCCCGGAAGCCATCGATGGGGGAGTGATAGGCTTGGAGAGGAGAGCGAGGCTATATCTGCAACCTGTCCTAGAGGCAGTGTTATTTATTTCCTGGGTACAACATGGCATTCTGGCGGCGCAAATCGCAGTAAAAAGCCACGGCATGCGGCGACTATACAGTACTGCCAACCCTACATTCGACCGCTGGAGAATTTGATGGTAGCTGTGGACCCAAGAAGAGCACTCTCTGGTGAGATACCTAAAAAGATTGTCGACATGATGGGATATAGAAGTGCAATCCCCTTTATCGGTTATGGTGAGTACTATTCTTCGATAAGTTCCTCGCATAGAATCACTTGTTGACCGGGCTTTCGCTTGCTCCCATTGCCGATTTTCTGTACGCTGACAAAGCTGGCTTAGCGGATGGAATGAATCCTCGGAAAGCAACCAGCAGGATGCTTAGATGGCTAGGAGGCCCCATTGATTACAATCCGCCAACGTTCGCCAGTGAGAAGGGAGAAAAAGAGGTACGAACGCAGAGCAAGCTCTAGCAGGTTTTGTCAGTTTTCCGATTCGATCTCTAATATGGGCGGTGTTTTGACTATCGAGCCATCTAATGTGTATTGAGACTCCGCACATACCTTGGTATTAAATGTATAAGCAATCAGATTGTTTTCTCGCTCTAGAATTTGCTCTTAAGAGCCTGAAAATTACAATTATGATATCAATTACTGTAGGCCCACCCACGTTGTGAGCAGTGAGCTGAATATTCAAAAAGAATGTTTGATGACTAGTAGGTCCTTCTAATCTCCTAGACTGATATGACGTCGAGTTGTGTAAGAAAACAGGATGAATATCGCTCTTGTGACGAGGCATGTTGTTGGTGGAACGCCAACGTCTTTAACTCTCTTTCTACGCTATCAATCAAATTTGCTTGAGGATCGCCTATACAACCTATGCCGTCGGAAATTGACCTCCGTGCTGGGAATGCATAATTAAATGATCTTGGCAGTCCACATAATACCATTCAACACCTGACTTACAAACCAATCATCCTCATAAGCTTCGTCAAAGTGACCTAAGGCAGTGTAAAACGACCTCGCCCCTTCAAATTCCTGGCACCACGCGATGGGATGATCGTCTCTTAGACTTCCACCATGATATGTCGACTCATCGACAGTCAACAGAACATGTACATTATTTAAGCGTGGGTTGACTTTGAAGTTATACCATTCGTCGTGCCAGTCTCGCGTAAGAGTGGTGCATTTGTCTTTGGTATCGTTTAGACTGGTCGACGCAATCTCAAGTGAAAGGATGGCATGCGTGGGATCCTCAATCGTAATTTGACCGTCTTGTGGTTCTGGATGTTCTGTAAAGACTCCTCCGATCAAATGGCCATACCAGTCAGAAGATGGCATGCCAGTGGATGCGCAGTGAATGCCTACGATCCCACCTCCCTCGTGAACAAAGCGCTTTAGGGCGTCAAGCTGGACATCGTTGTCGAGAAAGTTTCCAGAAGCTTGAAGAAAGACAATTACCCGGTAATTCCTCAAGATATCCGGGTTGAAGACTTGAGAATCCTCCGTTGCTTCGACAGAAAATGGAGTGGAAGAGGTCTTGGATGATTCCGCTTGTCTTTGGAGTGCCGCTATACCGGCGGGAATGGACTCGTGCCGGAAACCCCTTGTTTTGCTAAATACGAGAACTTTGAATGGTGCCTGGTCCATGGTATGTTTTTCTCCCGACATCTTCTAGGACAAGGTTTGAGATTCAACCTGTTTTAGGTGACGGCGCTTGAGATCTAATTTATATAGGCAAAGTTGGAGACTTTAAAGGGCCGGCAATTGGTCCGATCTGCCGCCCGCCCTACATTTGGATTACTAGCGTAGTCAGTGATAGCATCACCATCCTGATTGATAACGCAAAATGACAGATGACGTTATTTGTAACATTGTGTGATTTCGTACGTATTAAACAATGTACCTCGCTCTAGTAGACCTATCAGGTGCGGATCTCCTTCGTCTCTTTAACTGAATTTATCCTGTAACCGTACTCGGTTACGAAGAACAACATCCTCACCTAGACTAGGTGCATTTGATGACATGCCCAGCTGTTGAGCCTCTATGGCACATGGCCGCATATTAATTGAGTTGGATGTTCCATCTTTAACGTCAAAGGTCCATCACTGACTCCAAATGTCCATCGGGCTTCCCAAGCACAATATGCTCTTACTTGAAAGAGCATCAAACACCAGCTTGCTCCTGTCTCTGAATCTCCTCCCGGAAGACATTTCGTCCTTGAGTCGGCGACCAGCTTTCCCTATCAGTTAGCTGAATACCACGACTCTTATCTGTGGGGTCCGCAGAAGCCGCCTCGGTTCGCTGTGATCGACTCTGCCGTTCACCATAGCCCTGAGACTTCCTTTGGCCGAAACACAATACATGACCATGTCGTCGCCACGACCAGAAGCACAACCCAGCGAATAGAATGGCGACAAGTCCGATGACGACTGGTACAGCAATGGCTACAGTGTTCGGGTGACCACCGCCGCTGGAGACGTCCGCGACACCTGAGATGGTTATGTTCGGGCCGTAATCAAGCGTGCGCACACTGTTCTCCGAGTCTTCGTTAGAATCGAAGTATGCAAGGCGCAGGGAGACAACAAGTGCCTCGGTGTTTTGTGTTGACAGTAGATCACGGTCAATAGACCATGCGTAGAAGCCTGCACTGGCAGCCATATCCGATGATGCAAAACCCTCGCCATCTGCATATTCACCTTGCACCTGCAGTGTTTGATTTTCATTTGCGAAGATGGTAGGGTCCCATGTCACTATTTGAGCTGGTTAGGCCGAAGACAGAGGGGGGCTTTTAACTGAATACTCACCATAGTAGGTTTTTCCTGCTGCTAGGACACTACCCGCACGAGGCAGGCAGAAAGGAGCATCGACGCCCTGATAATTGCTGCACTGGACAAATGCGCCGGCTACGCCAGTGCCCGTCGCGGTTGCGACAGGGGCCATGCCAGTACTGGTGGTGACGATGCTGCTGCTTTTCGTCAGGGTGTACATGGATGTCTGCGTGACGTACTCGGGAGCCCCGGATATGGTGCTCACTGCCCCATTGATGGTAGTGGGCGTGGGCGTGATAGTCTGCGCATCGCCGCTGGCATCGACGGTGATCCAGACATTCCCAGCGTTTCCGAGGCCTTGACGGCCCTGGACAACGGATGCCTCGACAGCAGACGCAGAGAAAATAATTGGCCAAAGCCCCATGGCGGCAATTCTCTTGCTCAGTTGACTCAGTTTCAGCTCCATCCTGATCGTTCACAATAGCGCCGCAGGTCCCGTGAAGGAGGGGCGAAGTGAGGTGGTTTCTCGACGAAGACAACAGTTAGAAAGGACAAGAGCTGTGGCACTTCTGCCTTTATCTGCTTGGGTGCTTAGGTAGACTGGAGAGTTCGATGACCGTCTTGCTGTCCCCTTGTTGAAGCCAACGGGTTTCAGAGAGGAGGTTGGTCGGGCGCCGGGTGTGCGAATGTTGAGTTGGCGGCACCCACGTCGTGATCACTGTACGTAGTGTGATAGCGACGGATGTTAAGCAGTTGAACCGACAGGGATGGGTCCAGAACGACGCCGCCGGTGATGGTAAACCTGCTCTGATTCACAATATGGCAGGCTGGATCCAGCAGGGGCTCTCGGGGCTGTAGGTCTGATGGGGAATCTCGACTAGAAGCGCATGACACCAGAGATTGAACGATCTACAGCTAGCCAATGCTTTTGACCAGCAAAGGTGACAATGTGTGGCTATAGCAGTGAGTGCTTATAGGCACGGCATGGATGGCGTCAAGGTGGGGAGGCCAGCCCTGCAGCCAAGTACGAGATGTGCTGTTCGGCGTGTAGACTTGGGTGTGATAATGCCAGCCCCCTCGTCTTACCCTCGTCTTACGATGAAATGGGCTGCTGAAGTGAGCGAGTAAAGTCGGACGTATGGAAAGCGACTGAGAAGATGGAGATGCTGCAAGTGAGAGCCGCACCGGAGCTGATGCAGTGGGTTTGTCCTTGGGATAAAATGCTAGAGCGGGTAGTAATTAGCTGGCTCCGGATGCAAATTATCAATCTCTGAGCATCGTTTGCACCTTTGCCAGAGACAACTCTGAGTCTTACCCTAGTCGCGGAATGATAAGAATGAGGTACAGTAGTTAGAGGGGAGAAGAAAGCTGCCCCGCGATTGGGATGGGATCTGAAGAGGTGGGGGGACTCCGGCTGAACTCTTGTCTGTCTCTACGCATGTATCATTGATTCACTGGCCGGACTACGGAGGTACTCCATGCAATACAGTGCCCACTATAAGTCTTGCTTGGTAAGGACCCAATTTCTCTTCTTGCATTTCTTGGTGGCGGTGGGGAGTCAAGGAAGAGAGAGGGGGTTTCCTAGCCCAGGCTGATCAACCCATCGATGAATTGATCTATCGATTTACATGTATTCACTTAGCCACATCATTAGACGCCCAGCCATCACTCAGCTCCTACTCCGGGTTCTGTGAAAAGTTTGTGCGAAGGCTCATAAAGATTGGTAACATATCTGTATAAAAAGGCACTCAAGGGTTGAACATAGACAAAGCCCTATCTAACACTGTAGAGTAGCTCAGTCCAGCTTTCTCAAAGCAGCTCTGAGCCAACCACATGGGGAGGCTCGCCCACGACCACCTGGTCAGCCCTGAGGCCCCTCTATTTCTCTCGGCCTACGCCGTAGATAGTTCGCGAAAACAGGTGGGTGGGCCTGCATTACAGTAGTCATGCTAAATTAATGGTCCTAGGAGAGAGTAGATACAAACGATAAATATGTTCTCGGCCTGTAGTCAAGTCAAGCACGTGTGTTTCTCCAACGGACTCAGGACTCAAGAGACAGGTATCTAATCGTGATGGATGGAGTTTGATAACTCTGTTGCTAGCTAGACTCGTTGGTTGAGGCCACTACACACTGCTCCGTGCCTACTATGCAGCATTGACTTTAGAGCCTTGGATTTTCACTCACCTTTGGTATCGCATCGACCAACCGTCCGTGAGCCACCCAGCCAGCCATGAGATGCCGCCAGCATACTGTTACTTCAATGAAACTAGGCCTGTCCGAGCCATCTTGCTGTAGTGCTGTGATCCAAAACGGAGCCCCGGCTACGGCGGCTAGTGAAGAACCATCGACAACGAGATGTTTCCCTAAAATAGCGGTCTTATGGAAACTGGCGCCATTCTGGACTGGGCTCAGGGCCGCCTCGTCCACTATTGGCCCTGCCCGCCAGGAGATCCATGGTTGTTGAATCCTCGGCAGCGCATGGCTTTTTTTCCCACTACACCATCCGTATCGGTCTTCTACTTCGTTGAGGTAGGCAAGTAGAGAAGAGTGTCTTCACTTCTGAGGTTTCAATCGGAGAGACGTACTGCTGCATGGAATTGATATTAATTATTTCGACGATCTCTTTCTCAGCCCAGCCGGCGATGCGGCTTAGTCCTGTATAGTCCGGTACCTACCTACCGAGACCCAAGATCAGTACAGTCCTCACTCAAATGCCTCACTTGACAGCAGCTAGAGCAAGCTCCTCGTTTACTTGCTTGGCCCTGAGCTGACCACCCACAATACACACTGGTCGCACTGTTGGGATGAGCAACCTGCCTTCTGCAGCATCGATGACCTAGCATGGTTGCGAGAGGATTCAGGTATCGGGCACCCCAGACCACCGGAACAATGCGACAATGGCCTGTTCTCCGTACTCCGCGCGCCGATATGCGCGCAGCGGCAGCGCACTGAGGGGGGGGCGAGAGATGGCCGCGATAGGCCGGAGCTGCCCAAGCACGCCCTAAGCCCCCAGTCTCCTCTGCGGCGTTCGGCACAACTGCATGTCTTTCTATCACGTCACGACCGGCAACGCTATTGCTGCATCGTACGTATCAGGATATCTATTCTACCATGTATGTAATGGCTAGCCAGCTAGCTACCTAACTAGCGTAGAGTGCCCCTTGGCGCGTACTTCTTCTGTGTCTGCACATGAGGGAAGAGAACGTGCTCAACACAGTACAGTTATAAGCTTCTGTTACATGCCCCGTCCGTACCGGCCCATCGGTGGTAGTGGTGGACCGGCCTAGCGCCATCGTCAGCAAGCCCAGCAAGCCCAGGCACACGCTTCGGGCAGCTCAAGCTGCAGGATGTGCAACGATCCCCACCCCCCTCGCTGCGATTGACGCCGCTGGTTGGGAGCTCGTGGGCCGTCGTGCAGATTGGCTTCCTTCTCGACTCGACGGAGGTCCGTCCTCGATGTCTTCCTCGAAAGAAGCCATTGATAAGAAGCGGGGTGTCCCAGCAGGGCAAGGTGTGCCCAGCCCAGCTCTGGTCTGGTCCGGTCTTGTCCTCCATGTGTGTTGAAAGAGAGGCCCTGCCGTGAGATTGCCACATCGCCAGATTGACCTCTTTGCTGGTACTGCTGCTCCTAGCATTTCTCTTCACCACCGAGTCAAATCGTGAGATAGACTGAGCTGATCGGAGGACTTGCGAGAATGAAGTCGAACCGCGCCGTCAACACCGCGGTCGCCGCAGCAGTCTTCTGCTCCTCGGCCTGCCTTGCAGAGGCAACACAATGCCAGACAATCCTGGCTCCGACCTACACGCCGCCGTCCGTCGCGAGTGGCTGGACGGCCCAATTGATTGCTTCCGGTCTTAAAAAGCCGCGAAGCATCCAATTCGATACCGCCGGCGCTCTGCTTGTAGCTGATGCCGGCGTAGGCATTCGTCGCATCACATTCACTGACAACGGGGGAACCTGTTTGGCAGTGAATCAGAACCAGCTCCTAGTCAATCAGACCACTGTAAGTAGTTAGCTGGAGTGTTATGTTCTCGTTGTGAACGGCTGTCTTTTGAGGACCACAGAAGCAATATGTGAGGAGGGTAGTCGGCTGATATTGAGGAACAGCTGAACCATGGCCTCGCTGTCTCATCCGATGGGAGATATATCTACGCTTCGTCTGCGGAGGCTGTCTTTGCCTGGGGCTACGATGCCAAGTCCGGAACCGTCAGCAACAACCCGCAGACAATTGTCAACAACATGGCCAACAACGATCTAGTCACCCGCACGCTCGTCACCTCTAAAGTGCAGCCTGGCATGCTGATCGTCTCCCGCGGTAGCGGCGACAACTATGATGTAGATGCGCTCAACATTGCTAGCGGCCTGGGTCAGATCAGGGCCTTTGACCTCTCCAACGTTACATCCTCGTCAGACCCCTATGACTTCGATTCGACCGGCCGACTACTGGGTTGGGGTCTGCGTAATGCTGTTGGTGTCGCTGAGCATCCCAAGACCGGCGGAATCTACAGCTTGGAAAACAGCATCGACGGGGCGACCCGGGATGGCGTTGATATCCACGAGAACAACCCCGGTGAGGAGCTCAACTTCCACGGCTATCTCAACAGCACAACCACCCACCAGGGCGGCAATTACGGCTACCCACGATGCTACGCTGTCTGGGACGCCTCGTCGATGCCCGATGCCACAGATCTGTCCGTGGGCGAGCAGTTCAGCATGACTACCAACAGCACCCTGAACGACACCACCTGTGCTGACGACTTCGTCGCCCCGAGACTGACGTTCCCCGCCCATCAGGCACCTCTCGATATCAAGTTCAACGATGACGGCACCACAGCCTATATCACCTTCCATGGAAGCAGTGAGTATCCTTCCTCCTTAATCCCCACGCCGCCTCTCCGAGGTCAGCATGTCATCAATTATACTAATCCCCGATAGTTGACAAGACGAACCCCGTCGGTTACCGCATTAGTGCTGTTGCTTTCGATGCCGCCACTGGCGAGCCGGTCGATGCGTCGGACAGCACCACGGCACTCAGTGATATCATCTCAAACCCGGACCTGACCTCCTGCCCCAGTGCTTGCTTCCGCCCTGTCGGTCTGGCTTGGGACAGCCAAGGCCGCTTGTTCATGTCATCTGATTCAACAGGCGAGATTTATGTCCTGACCAGGTCCACTGCCACCACCTCCGGCACTGCCAGCGGTACCATTGTCACCCCGACGGCAACGGCAAGTGCCAAGAATTCCGCTTCTAGCATGTGGAGTCGCGATGTATCGATGGTGGGCCTCGCAGTCCTCGTTGGCACGTGGTTGACAATCTTTTAAATTGTCAGCAGGAAGTACAGGCTCCTGGGGTACCTTCTATCTGGCGGGGAGGGGGCATTGAGGCGTAACCGCTCGAAAACTTGGCGGAAGTTAAGGATCAGGCCAACAGAGCAAAGTGCGAATCAGGTGTTTCAGTCCATATTTGACTTACATAAAACGCACGAAGCACACACTATGGTACCTTACATTTAGCCTTTATCTATATAATGTTATACCTTAGAAATAATGGAATTCTTGCACCTGATAATCGCAGTATTGACGTGCAAACTGTGACAGGCAACACTATGACATATTACGACTCTGCGTTCTCCCAAGTCTTGGTGAGAAACAACTCGGTTGATGGAAGGTTGCCTTGCCACGCTGAAGTAGGTCTATACATGAGTATACACTTTCCACCTCTGAATGAAGGGTGAGGATATGAACCATGGCAAGCTGGAATTCGTGACCTATGCAAGAAATATATGATTGCCACACGGCCCTGAAGTTCTGTTGCTTTTCATCTCAGGCTTCCAGACATCTTATTTGGACAAAGTGAAATCTAACCAACATTTCAAACTTTTGTAAAGGAGTCTGCGACGCCAAAATCTGGCAACCATTAATTACCATGAATGTTCTAGACCTACTGATCCAGCATTAGTACTTCAGGGTCCTCACATGGAGGATTTCCGAGGGCTCTAGGTACAAGTCCGAACAATTCCAGCGAATCAGGCGAGACACGGCTTCCTTCCCTGCAATACTACATCGCTAAGTAGTACCGTCGCGCCTGATTGACTAGAATACCATTGACTTATGCATACCACTATATTCGACATGAGGTTAGTGATCGATATTCACGACCGATTGGACGATATCTCGTCTCTTGGTCCGCGATTGTGTGTGCGTGCAAGACCATATGTCCTTAGCTCCCAAAAAAAATCTCACTTGACGGTGAAGTCTATTCTAAGAGTGCTAAATTTCATGTCTTGCAGGAATGCAACCTTAGGAGCTATGCGAACCGAGCCCCTGGCTCTAGTTTTAGGAACCTATTGGCCAGTTGAGGAATTTTGACGTGATTGATGCGGGATTCGTTAAACGAGATCGTACAAAATGCTACTAGATTCTTGACCCATGTATTCAAGCAACCCAATAGGGGTTCTACATCCGGGTGAACGTACTGGGTGGCACAAAGAGAAAGCTATAAATGTTGGTCACCAATTGCCTCTCATTCCTCCTGAGCAGTGCACCTCTAGTTCCAACGATGAGATTCCTTGTAGTGGCGGCCAGCGTGGTGGCTGTAGCTCAAGCAACCGCATACTCTCCCTCTTCAACTTCGCGGACTGATAAGCTTGCTGCTCGGGCACTTTTGAATCTTGCTATCTACACGGAGAAGCATGCATTTCCTTCCCGAAACCCATGCACACTTGCAAATGCTGCAAAACGAAAAGAGTGGTTTGTTCACGAGCGGTAGCATCACCGAAACACATCTGACACCAAGGCAGGGGTTCTCTTCCATCCGAAGAAAGAATAGCATATACAAATGCCGTTTTGTGCTTAATGTCTAAACCGTCACGCAATAATGCTACTGAAGTCCCTGGGGCCAAATCGCGGTATGATGACTTTCTAGCCGTCCATATCAACCAGACTTTGTCAATCCATGGCACAGCAAACTTTCTCTCTTGGCATCGTTTCTTTACTTGGACATACGAACAGGCATTGCGAACAGAATGCGGCTACACGGGACATCAACCATATTGGAACTGGGGAAAGTGGGCTTTGGATCCCCTGAAAAGCCCAATCTTCGATGGTGGTGCAGCGAGCATGGGCGGGAACGGTGAATTCCAAGCCCATAACTGTACAAATGGGCTACCAACGGGCCTGAATTGTATCCCACCGGGCGATGGTGGAGGTTGTATCGCCAGTGGACCATTTAAAAACATGACTGTGAACATGGGACCCATCAGTCCTACATTAGCAGAGCCCGAGATCGTTCCAGTACCGGAGTTCTATACTTACAATCCTAGATGTGTAAAACGAGACATCTCATCCTGGGTCAGCAGTCGATGGACTACCGAGCAAAACACAACCGACCTGATCGTTCAGAATACAAACATTGCGCGCTTCCAGACTGTGATGCAAGGCGACTTTGCAAACGGCGAATATGGCGTTCATACCGGCGGGCACTTCACGATAGGAGGCGACCCTGGAGGTGATCTCTTTGCAAGTCCTGGAGATCCGGCATTCTTCCTTCACCATGCACAGATTGATCGAACCTGGTGGATTTGGCAGAACCAGGAACCAGATGAAAGAACAGACGCAATCGCAGGAACGATTACGATAAATAACGAGCCGCCGAGTAGAAATGGGACATTGGAAGACCTGATAGATTTGGGTGTAAATGCTGATCCTATCACAATAGGTGCGGTGATGAGCACTACAGGGTTGGCAGGTGGCCCGTTATGTTACATATATGTATGACTGCCATACAATAGCATCTCAAGACCATAGATAAATAGGCCATGAACCATGTTTATCATAGACATAGGGAAAAGAAGGCTGATAAAAGTAGTAAGCTTTGAGCATTTAAGGGAAATCTATCCAGACACAACGAGCAAAACCCAAGCAGTCATTTGCCTCTATGGTTCTCTAGAGTGTCTCGTTTCAGATGATAAGAAGTAAACAAACTATGGGCATATCAGTCGACGGATAAAGCGATAATTTAGTGGTATATGATAGTTTATTCAGCTCACAAAAGTATGTCACAGAATGTTCTACCAAGAGCTGGGCAGTAAATGCGGCAGATCGATCATTCGAGGCTCAATAATAAGAACGACAGTACTTTATTGTTCAAATCCCATAAGTACTCATTAACGAAAGTAAGCAGCGCTGCGCCGATGATGCTCGTCTCCACTAATTGAATTGCAAGTCACTTTGCTATATTCGCAGATAACATAACTGGGCAAACAATGCAACAAATCAGAGCAGAGACCCTTCCAGTCGGCGAAAATAGTGAAACCCCGCCGCCACCCCTTTGAAAGCATCCAAGGCCTTCATCAACGCGGGAGCCTGCGAGGCAGGTAAGGAGCCTTGCATTCGCTGCTAACAACTCCACCTAAGCCAAGCCAACAAGGCAGCAAGGTCAAGGCAGATGTAATGCTCGAGTCATGCTCTTTACCTGATCCTTTAATCGACAAACGCCCAGAAACAGCTTTGGAACTCCGAACGCTTACGCGTTGCCGTATCAGCAATGCAGTCGGCCGGCCTTCGGCGACGCCCCAAAGATGGAAGCGCGATCGAGCTCGGTCGCGTAGATGGCCCTGCGACAAGAAGAGCAAAGTTGATGGACAATGACGATCCAGGGTGGACTGGATTGGAATTGCTCGACGGCGAAAATGCGGACCGGGAAGGACCTGGGGTTGAGCCACCGAAATTCACAGTCAATCTTGGCCACCCTCCTGCGCAACGCTATAATCACATCGTACCTCACTTTCGGCAACAGTTGTCCAAGACCGACTTCAATGGCCTGTTCGACGACATCATTCGCTCAATGGCACCTCCTGCTCTTGCAAAGTGCCTCCATGTTCTCGCTCGCATAGCACTTCGGAGGGTATACACATCTGAAGAGACTGCAGAACTACGCGGCATATCGAACGCTGCCAACATCTCACTACATCTCCTCGTAGCGTTCAATGCCCTTCTCGATCTGCTCCTCGGTTGCACCAGCGGCGGTTGTCGTGTGGAAGCTGATGAGAAACACAGCTCTTCGAAGGTCGACCATGGCTCTCCAACATCGCGCGTGTTGCATTTCCGTACTTTAGATTGGGGCATGGACGCCTTGCGCCAAATTGTCGTTGAGCTTGATTTCGTATTATATGAGAATGGACCAATAGTGGCCACAAGCCTGACATATTTCGGCTATGTTGGCGTCTTGACCGGTGTTCGGTCAAACCTCAGCTTGAGCCTCAACTTCCGCCCTCATCACGACAGAACTACATTCCGCAAGCGGCTTGACTTTCGGATCCATCAGTTACTGGTATTGCTCGGTTTACGCCAGAGTATATCGAGTGTCTTGCGTGGCTATCTGCTAATGCCTGTCGATGATGTTGGTGGGCAGATGGAATCAGAAGAGGATCTACCGCCGGCAGGAGGTGGCCCTAGGATGAGTAGGATCCTACGCCATCTTGCTCTCTCTCCATCTACTGCTGCTTATCTGGTTTTCTGTACACCACAAAAGGTGTACTGTATCGAGAAGGACCACCGTACTGCCTCTGTTCGAAGTTCGCATGACTTTCTTACGGCGTACAACCACGACGTCAAGGACGAAGGCGATAGCTTAAGAGTGAAAGAAGCTGCCCTAGATCTTGCAGGAGGTCCGGTATCTGGCATGGAAAACCTTGTACGATACTCGACTGAGCGCAAGACACATCTGGACCTCTTGTGGCACAGAGCCGTCAACATCCGTCGCAGAAAGTACAAGCGCAGGACGCATGCTGTGAGCATGGAGGATGTACTGCACATGGTCAGAGATGTCGAAATCAGCAATGAAGAAACCCATTATGCCGTCCTCATGGACCCGGAAAGAGGGAAAATTCTTTGGCGAAGAGCGTATCCGGCAGACGAGTCAGAGTCCGTGTGAATGGGAGCGAAGATCCAGCCTGCCAATTTGAACAAGTTGGTTCGAGGCACGAATTATGCCCAAATCGTGTCCCTTTTTTTTATGAACATACCCAGACGTTGGTGCTTATTAAGTTTCGGACTCGTTGAATCGCATCGGAGAGCGGAAAATGGCGCTGACCTCTCTTCCTGATGAACTTTCGCAAGAACATTTGACGGAAATGGTGGCTGAATGAATGTCAGAGGTGGACTTTAAGGTGCATACATTCAAATTGACGATTCTCGTGATCGATTCAATGAACTGTCCCTCGGGCTTCTCGAACAACCATGTTATATTGAAGTCTGCTCGATGTGTACATTACAACTGTTTTATCGTAAAATAACGAGGGTAAGGCAAATAGGTATCAAATGCAACCACAATCCATATAGTCACCAACAACATTTGACAGCTGCCTGTCTCATCCCAATTTTTGCGCAGGCATCGACATCCCCAAGGGCCCACCACAGGACATGTCATCCTAACATGTTTAGACGGTCTTTTCCGGGACCTCGGTGAGGGGCGTGTTCTTTGCGGCCGGGGTCTCCTTGACGCTGCCCTGGCTGCTGGTTGGCTCCTCACCAGGGAGGATGTCGTTGACGTGACGTGAAAGCTCGACGTAGTCATAAGCTAGAGTTGCCATTAGCTATCATTCTCGATGCTCGACATCCACGTGCATCACTCACCGAACTCGCCCAGTTGGCCGTCATCAAGACCCATCTCCTCCTCCTCAGCAGAAGCACGCAGGCTCAGTCCGGGCACGAGGTTCATGAGGAAGAGGATAATGCAGGTCATGCCAAAGGAGTAGCTGAATCCAGCAACGGAGTCGGCAAGCTGATAAGCAAGCTGAATGTAGTTGTGGTTCAACCAGCCTCCTGGAATCTCGCTGAAGCCGTCAAGGTGGGCAATGTAATCACTACAAAGTCGGTTAGTAAATGAAGCGAGTTCTCGTAGCTTGGGTAAGATCCTGTCAACTTACGCAGCAAAGAGACCAGTCAAGAGGTTACCGGCAATACCGCCGACGGCGTGCTCAGCGAACACATCAAGAGCATCGTCGATGCCAATCAGGAACTTCAACTTGGTAGCAAAATTGCACACGACGCCACCGACAACACCGAAGATGACAGCAGCCCAGGCGGGGACGAAACCAGAAGCAGGAGTGATAGCGACGAGACCTGCGATAACACCGCTGCAGAAGCCGACAGTGCTCCACTTCTGCTCCAGGCGGTAGTCGAGCAGGCACCAGGTGAAGCCACCGACACAGGCGGAAATGTGAGTGACGATGCAAGCCATGACAGCGCGCAGGTTGGCGCCCAGTGCAGAGCCACCGTTGAAGCCGAACCAGCCGACCCACAGGAAAACGGTGCCCAAGACGACGTGGGTGACATTGTGAGGGCGGTAGGGCAGACCGTGGTTCTTGTTGTAACCAGTGCGCTTGCCCAGCATGAGCGAGTAGGCGAGAGCTGCGGCACCTGAGGAGATGTGCACGGGTGTGCCTCCGGCGAAGTCGAGACCGCCCATGACAAAGGACCAGCCATTGCCGTTCCAGGTCCAGTAAGCGATCGGGTCGTAGACGATGGTGGCCCAGATGAAGATGAAGACAAGGCAGGGCAGCATGCGGCCACGATCGGCAGCGGCTCCAATGGCGAGGGCGGGGCTGGGATTGGTCAGTACCTTGCATAGAAATTGTTGAGAGCCGCCAGGTCAGACATTTCAATTCTGACGACGAGGGGTAACAAGCTAGTGGCAGCAGGAGGATCGAAACGTACGTGATGGCAGCGAACATGCCCTGGTACAAGCAGAATAGCAGGTCCGGGAGCTTGGAGCTTCCGACTGAGGGCTGACCCAGCACCTTCATGAGGCCGAAGTTGGTGAGATCACCAATGTAGGCGCTTCCGGTGTGAGAGAAGGTCAGGGAGTAACCCCAGAAGAACCATTGGAATCCTACGACGGCTATCGACATCAACGACAACCAGATGAGGGCCAGCGCCGACTTGCGGCGGGCGAGTCCACTGTAGAAGAAGCCAACGCCGGGCACCATGAGAAGCACAAGCGCGGACGAAGTGAGGATCCAGGCAAAGTCGCCGCTCTAGTGTCAAAAGGTCAGCATGGGTGCACAATCGTGGGCTGCTAGCTAAGGGCGAGGCGCACCGAATAGTAAATGTTGAGATCCTCGGTCAGCGAGTCGCCGCCAGTGTAGGCGACACCGCTGGTGCCATTGTACTCGACGAGAGGGCCGGACGACATGGTGACGGCTTCGGTCAAGTCTGCTTGTCGTGTCTCGTGGGTGTCGAGGGGGTCAGCTGCGGTCGAGTCGAGTCGAGTTGTTGCTCCGAGACAGGGTTGTCTTCACGAGAGCAGCAGGTCTGACGTCTTTGACCAGAGTTGAGAAGAGAAAAAAGAGAGATCGGAGAAGAAGCATGCACGGGAATCAAGGGGGGGCCCCGGGCTGATAAATAGATGCGGTAACTACTACTATGTATGTATGAATGGTATGTACCCAGAGTTGATTTACCCTGGGACCGGAGCAGAAGTGAGAAGCTTGGCTCTGGCTCTGGCTTGGGGGGGGGCTTCCCGAAGCCGCAGTTCGCCAAAACTCCGATGCTGCTGGTGCTACTCTACGAATACATGTAATAATGCCTGCTCCGCCTGGCGAGTTCGCGGTCTCGAGTTAGTTACCTACTCTGCATTACTCTTCATCTTTACCGCATCGTATCAGCAAACGGGGTGGAGGTTCGCCATGATTTGGCTCCTGTTTGGGACTTGGTGGCCTTACCCTGGCACCCTGGGTCCTTGGCCGTCTCCTGCCAAGACGCTATTCCGAGCGCCCATGTGGATCCAGCACGGTCCACAGAGATAAGGAAAGTCTTCTACGAATGAACGGCATTGAATCCAAAGACGGGAGACGGCGTGGGGTCATCGACATCGAGACTCTGACGCCAGGCCACCGGGGGTCATCGGCTTGGCGAGTTGGGCTGGCATCTTTGTCTGTTCGTCTGAGTGAAGAGACTGAAGGTGAAACTCTTTAGTTCAGTAGTGACTGACTGGGCTGACGGACTGACTGACTGACGGACTGGGTGTGCTGTGCGCGCTTGTGTTCCGGGGATGTTACGGGCTGCCAGACCTAAAGTCAACTGAGGGATTGAGTCCACATAATGCTGAGTGCATATGTCGAGGGTAATCCTATTATCCAATGGTGCTCCATGGCGTTGGAACGGCCGGCGAAGAGAACCTCGGCGTCAGATGGGCTTGGTCATGTACTACCGGTAGGCTAGAGACAATGGGTACGGTTAACTCGCACCCTACGGTGTCATGTAAGAGCTAGGTGCATTGGTATCATCCAACGTCTTCGGACGGAGAGCGATTGATTGTCTGCCATGACTATTCAGTCTGACTACAACCTGGCATCCGGCGCCGCAGTCTGACTCGACTCCTGTCCCATGGCCCCATTGGTGGCATCGGGCTCGCAGTCGCGACTCAATAGAGCTTCACAAAGTATAGTAGGTATTGTGCTATGCTGTCTTGCGATCGTGTCGTGTCGTGTCATGTTGTGCTATGGAAGATTCTTGCAAAAAATAACCCATGCTAACGTACAGGAAGGATGGCAAAAGGATTTCCAACGCCCCCAATCTCCACTGCATTTCGACCCTGCTCGTCGAGCCTGACTTGCATAAGCCAACAGCAGCGACAAAAGCTGCCATGCAGGGAGCGGCAGTGCCGTCCTGCCGTCCCACACCACACACAGACATTGCAAGGTGTAGGCGCATGTTATACTGACTGCATGTTACCTGGAGAAGAAGGAGGATGCTGTTTTTCTTCTTCTCTCAACAAGGCAAAACAGTTCCTCGCTCCATGCATCTCGAGGGTCGCCTCCCCACCCGAAGCACCCACACCTACATCCAGGGTATGCAGCCTGCAATCTCAGCATCATCAGAGGTCCAGGACTCGACGATTGGAGAGTATCCCAAGGTGAGGCAAGCGTGTACAACATGAGCGAAGAGCAATTTGCGGGAGCTGAGTCGCGTCTGGACTAGTCTAGGCTAGTGGGTGGCTGAAATGGGTGGGAACAAGGGTTCATCTAGTGTAAGTACTACTTCTGCATGGACAGACAGATAATGAATGGTACGCCAGACGGGAGCCGGAAATCACCCACAGACGTTGGCCAGGAATTCGCTCCCTCCGGTCGATATGGTTGCAATGCTGGGGAAAGGTGCAAGGGCATGTTGTGCAGCATGGCGCGCGGCGTGCTGACGAACAGGCTATATTAACATTGAGAATCTGGGAAGAGGGATGGATGTGCTAGACTACCACGACAAGGTACGCCAGCCAGCAGCATGGAATCGGCAGCCCGGGATGATGACGGATCTGTATTCAATCTATTCAATCGTCGATAGTGGGCTGAAGAACCTGGTTCGAAGTCCTATATCTGACCACTCCGAAGAAGGTACAGTACTCACGACGACCTTTGGAGAGGTAAGGCAAGCCGCGCAACACGGTCAGCGCGTCGCTAGACTCTCTACGATGCGGTACGATCTCATGGGGAGAACAGTACAGCGCCGTGTACCGGGTATGGTATTTAGCTGTCTCCCTGTGTGCGCCTGCGATGCACAGGGTGGTAGCCTGGCGACTCGGGCATCCAACCAGCAAGAGAGCGAATGAAATGTTCTAGAAGAGTGTCTGAACCCCTGAGATATCGGCTGTGTTGACCATGAATTGTGTGTAATGAATGAACTGATTGCACGACTCGGGGTTTACCGTACTGTACTGTACTTTACAGCAGCCACCAAACCAGGAAAAAGCAATCCCGATGTCGCAGCCTTGAGCAGCGTCAGCACCCCACTGGTCACTCACTCACTGGTCAGAAGCATTGGAAGCTTCCTTCATTCAGGAGAAATGAGGTGCCTTAATTCCAGATGGCGGAAACGAGACGACGACGACAACGAAGCCGCCCGTCATGCCATGCCAGGGCACACAGCTGTAGCCCGCAAGGGTGGGCTGGCTGGCCGCTGGCGTGCATGAACCGGGCGAGCGAGGCTTTTCACGGCGCCAACCGCCAACTATCATTACGAGTTCCCATCTGTCAAATTCACCAGCCGAGATAGCGCAGCCGCCGTTGATTGACTGCAAAAGAGGCTCCCAGAGCGCAAATCACGCTAAGCAAGTCTAAATGCTATTAAACATTGATTAGCAGGGCTGCTCGTTGGATATCCGCGCCCTCCCTGATGCATTGCGGCCAACCCGGCGGCGTCAGTGGACAAGGTGTGGCGCTCGCCTTCGCCCATTCTTGCCGGGAGGACCGGTCGAGGTAGGTAACGTTAGTGAGTGAGAGTCACTGAGGGAGCACTACCGTAATCCATCGAGACGGTTTTAGCAAACACGCCGCAGGACGCTATGAAGACCTTGCCAGATTCCTCTCATGATGCCCCCGCCGCATTGTGGTGAAAGGATGCTTCTTGCATGCATACGCGCCATCTTTAGAGAGGATTGCCCAGTAGTCGCTGAATGGTTTCTTGATATTACCAGCAAGGTGCCTTATTCCATGTTTCTCAGCCTTAAGCTATAATTAATCAATGGTCGTGGAACAACAGAGGCCTGAAACTGAGAGTATACACAATACCTATACATGTACCGCGGTTTCCAGGAGCCTCCGTAGCTACAGTCTTGTCTCACATACCTGTAGAGTCCGGCCTTGTGCGTTCGCTGTGACCGTCCCAGCGTCAATGACTGAAACAACAAGGCCTTTCCATCTCCTTCATCGCTTGTTTGATGACCGCAGGGCATCTGGTCGCAAGTAAATGGAGGGTTTCTCAATTCTACGGCATACACAGTGCTGTCTCGCCTAACGGTAAGCTACTGCAATCAAAAATGTCAGCCACATGAGTGTATTGCATACCTAAGGCAAGGACGCCCTACTGCAAAGTACCTAGGCTCGCTAGGTAATGTCTCGACGTAAGGCCGGCCTGCAAGACTCGCCCTCATTGGCCCGAGAAATCACTTCCTTATCTCTGGGCAAAGTGGAGAGAGCTTGGCGCGGAGCTTGGCGACTCAGGCTGGGATCTGCCTCTTGTCTTTACTGTCTCTAGAGTAACTAAGTCAAATCAGTGGACCTGGTGTGGTGTGTGCAGGTGGGTTCTCGCTAATTGTAGAGATGTCAACCGACGCGCATGTCGTGAAGAGCCAGAGCGAGAGCACGATGCGATGGTACAATAAACCCGATCAAGGATCACCGTTGAAAGAAGAGAAAGAGGAGGTGTTGCTTTGATGAGAAGCGCCGGGATATGAAAATGCGCTTGCAGTGCAATCACAGCACGTATGTACGTACTCACACTATGAAGTAGGCCTGGGTACTATCTTGACCTCTCAAGAAAAACGCCCGCTGGATATATCAATTAAACAGGCCAGATGCCATAGCAACTCACCCTTTCGTACTGGTCGCCTGGACTGAGCCTGAGCAGGTGACGCCATTGCATTCAAAGAACACTTCGTATCGTTGGATGCCTGTCTTGCTGAGCCGTTCTAGCCGCTCTACTCGTTTACAATGCCCTACTATTGGAGGCTGACCTGCGCAAACATGAATTGTGGCGTCTCCCAATGTCGCTTTATCGAAATCTTTAAAAGTGGTGGCGCCTGTGCAATGCCAGTGCCTGCACCCGGGTTCCTTCTTCTTACCCCAAACCATTATGCACACTTGCTTTTTCTACCCCGTTTCCCTTCTTATCTATAGCGAATCTCGGCTTGTTCTAGAAACCTTCTAGCGTCCTCGGCTGGTAAGGCTCAAAGCTGAAACCACATTGTAAGCCGACCCAACCGACCTGCCCAATCCAGCTGACCCTGCCCTATTGGCATATGCCACCTTTTCTTCTACCCTGACTGGATGGATTCTACATGCAATGCAGGTTTATGTAGGGGAGAAGGCTGAGATTTCCTCTGTGGGGGTTCACTCAAACTCTGGCACCTCGCTCATAAGGGGCATATCAATCTCCTTGGCCATCCGTAACTAGCAAGACTGCCCAGTATGCAGGCTATAATATAGCATCATGTGAAGCTAGCGGGATGCCACCCTCCCTGCAGTGGAAAGGACGCCCTACTGTGTCTTCTCCCTTTCCATTGCTCGAAAATCACTATCAGATCCCGGCGACTCCCGCTAACCACTTTTCATAATGCATCTTTAATTTGTGAAACATGCAGCCTGGAGACAATCCGGGGAGCCCGCACGTTAGCTGTCTAAACTATTGGTGAGTTTAGAC